TCTTGGCTCCATGATGGAGAAGTGTCTCATCTTTCTGCTTCCCAAAGACTGTGAAGAACACAGCAAGCCACAGTTATGCAAAGATCCAAATGGGTCTCTAGACCTAGTGTTTTCTATCTGCAATACCCAGGATGGCAGGACTTGGGCAGGCTCAGGCTTCAGTCCCTCCTCCTCAGGTTGGGTAGTAGCTTTTGTTATCAGTAGAGGGGGATGGTGTAATGAAGTTTGAGAACCCTTATTCTAGGGAACCCCACATACCCTATTTTGCCCTGGCTTATGAAAGCGCAAATGATTCAGCCCGAGGTAGAGGACCTGTAACCTGAGCTCCACCACCCAGGGCTGAAGCCTGAAGATTTTAGCGTCAGCCCTGGGGAACTTGGGCTTTGGGCCCAGCAAGTCTAATGCCAGCACTGGCAACCCCATTAAAACAGAGCCGCAACCCACTTTGGGGTCCTGACCCACAGTTTGAGAACTGTTGCCTTTAGAATAATAGTGGGGAGGGTAACTCTTGTTTATGGCAGTGTCATTTTGTGGGACTAGTGTCCCAGCCTGTCCTTGAATGTAGATTCCCAGTTGGCAGAAAACCCCAGCATTATAAGCTTTTCCAGTGCAGTCGTGTTGATGTGGTCTTCAGAGGCCTGAAAGAAAATAGAGCAGTACCTTTTTAGTTTACATACTAATATGCTCCTTGTGGAGGGCAAGCAAACTATGGCCACATGAATTTCAGTAATAACCCCAGTGCAGTTTGGAAACCCTATTCTTTCAAAGGCAGGAACACCTCAGAAATCTCTGCCACCATTTTACCCACATTCAGCTTTTCAAACCAAACTGGTTAGCAGCAGAGCAATAGCAGTTGGGGATAGCCTGTTTCCTGATGGCTATAGCAATCTACTTTTGGACCAGGATAAATATCTTTTTCTCTTTTTAGACAAGAAATCGTTTTGAAGGAGCAAGATGGGAAGTGGAGGAGCTCATGAACAAAATCAGGCGGAATCCTCAAGAACATAAAAGAGCAAATCAGTTTACTATAGAAGGCTACCTTTATGTGCAGGAAAAAAGTAAGATATATTTTTATATTATCACTTGTGTTCACCCTCCACGTCCTGCTAGAGGAGTTTCAGGACCCTAGTCATACAAGCTCCTGGATGTTCTTCAGTCAGGCACTCCTTCCAAAGGAGCATTCTCTATTGAAACTACTTTGCAGTTTGCTAAAGACATTTGACACATACTAGCCACCTGTGCCTCTACTCCCCAGAGGAGTAAATAGTAATAGAAAATATTAAAAAGAAATAGTTTGTTCTCTAAGGGTATGTCTACACTAGCCCCCTAGTTCGAACTAGGGAGGCTAATGAGGGTGACCGAAATTGCAAATGAAGCACGGGATTTAAATATCCCGCGCTTCATTAGCATGTTCCTCGGGCGGTTGCCATTTTGGAAATTAACTAGCCCGGAATAACTGCCCGTGTCTACACGCGGCAGTAAAATGGGAGTTCGAAGTAAAGCCCTTAATTCGAATTAGCTGTTAAACTTCATTTCAGGAGGAATAACAGATCATTCGAGTTAGGGCTTTACTTCAAACTCCCGTTTCACTGCCGCGTGTAGACACGGGCAGTTATTCCGGGCTAGTTAATTTCCAAAATGGCGACCACCTGGGACATGGTAATGAAGCATGGGATATTTCAATCCTGTGCTTCATTTGCAATTTCGGTTGCCCTCATTAGCCTCCCTAGTTCGAACTCGGGGGCTAGTGTAGACATACCTTAAGTGAGAATGATATTTATTCTGTTACCCACACCAGAACTCTCCGTATAAGCAGTAACAAAATGGAACAGACTAGACTGGTCAAAATCTACTCCTTTGGACAGGGACTTTCAAGAGAGACCTTTTCTTCCACCAGCCTACTGTTTCTTATTGCAAACTCGCGGGCAGTTATGTCAAAGTACAACTATATTAACTACAATGAGTTGTCAGAATTTCTCAGTCAGTTATCACTGAAATGTCTTAATTAGGGTGACCAAATTGCAAATGTGAAAAATGAGGAGAGGAGGGAGGGGAGCTAATAGGCAGCAATATTCAAGAGAAAGACCTGAATATTGGGACTCTTCCTGTAAAATCAGGACATCTGATCTCCTTCGTCCCAATTCAGGCTATCCTTTATAAAGTGATATTAGTATGCATCATTTGATGCAGCAAACATGGCACCTCACTTCATGATGACCTTAGTGGTTATGAAAAAGACTTCTTAATTGTAGTCATTGTCTTAACTTCCTTGGGAAGCCCCAACTGTAGAAAATTGCCTCTTCAGGAGATTTCCCCTCCCCCCCACCTGGAGGGTCCGCCCCTCTGCCTCTCAGATGGTGCCTCTCAGGGCCTTCAGCATGCCTGCCTCTGCGGTAAGCCCCTTCGGGGGGTCCACTCCCAGAGGGAATAGTGCGACCCTGTTCTCTAGACCAGAGCGACTCTCAGCCAGCACATAGTACTCATTAAACTGCTTCATCCTTTGCAAATTCTTGGGTCTTCAATTAAACCCAGTAAAGTCCATTTCAATATCCACAATGACTATAAAACTTATAGGAACAGTCCTGTACATGGTTGCAGCCAGGGCCTACTTCTCACAGGATAGGTTTTTGCGATGGAATACCTCAACGTTCAATTTTGACTCCTCAATCTAATAACAGTCCACTCTGTCTTGGTCCTTACAGGACACATGGGAGCTGCCTTCACCAGACTTTCCAAATCTGGCTGACTGAGGTCTATATTCCAAACAAAAACTCCTTAGACGAAAGTGTTTTACTTGCTCCCAGCAGCTGGGCATCTCTCACCTGGTGGAAGAAGAGTACGACGTTTGTGTGGGTTCCTAATATTCATTCGTCATGGATGTGTCTCTCTAAAGTTCCCAGACTTCATAAGAGTCTGTGCCAAATCAAACTCCTTAAGCTACAAATAGTATGTGGAGCATGCAAACTTTTCTATTCCTGTCAGACATTATAACCACTGTTTGTTATATAAATAAACAGGACAGGGAGCAAGATCCAAACCACTGTTTTGGAAGGTGTCATAGGGCATGACTCACTGCCATGGCACCTCCTGCTGATCATTTGGGGAATTAGCTCAATTCTACCATGGAGTGCTCCCTTCCAGCTGGTGTCTCACCTACTGTATCCTGTTTGTGGCAGAATCTGCCATCTTGTATTAGGATCCGTGTCCTTCCCAGACTACAACACACTCCCCTCTAGGTACTGCCCTGCTGCAGTGCCCTCATGTTCTGGGGTCCTCCCCCTTCAGGGAACTCCCAACCTTCTATACCCACTTTGCCTCAGTGACCCTACTGCCAGTCTTCATCTAGCCCCTTACTTCAGAAGCAAACTACAGTCTGAAATAGCTGCTCATCATTGGCAAAGAGTGTGAACCTACTGTCTTTTTTATCTGTGCTGTGTCCCTGCGGCCTTGGTACCCTCAGGCCCTGCAGTCTAGGAGTGAGGTCAGGCCAGAGCTCCCCAGCTCTGCGTGCCTTTTCCCAGCACTGTTCTGTCTCAGGAAGCCTCCAATTTCCCTGGCAGTCAGGTTCCCAGCTAGAGCAAGTGTCTCTCTCTCCCTCTCTAGGAGTCCTTATTTATACAGCCCAAAATATGGGCCCTAATTGGCTATATCTGCTTCAGCTGAGAGCTCCACTCTGTTCTCTCTTAGAGCTGGTTTTTAACCCTGATAGGGCCAGTGCGGGACAGATGCCCCATCAGAAGAGGCAATACAACTCTGGAACTGGTATATCCAACATAGATCACCTCTCTGCAATATGTTTCTGGGCATGATGAAGTCCTTAGCAGACAGCCTCAGCAGGCTATTTCACAAGGAATGTACAAATCAGCACTCATGTATCCACGATCCATGATATTTTGTCAATGGAAGGTCTCATCTTGGGACTACTTGGCCATTCAGTCAAACAAGAAGTGTGCTCAGCTTACTTCAGGATTGGAGGGGATGCTTTCCTAAAACAATGGTCAGGCCCATGGATATATGCTTACCCTCCCATTCTCCTTCTACTGCATTTTGTGCTCAGGAAGATAAAGTGATAGTATTCTTAATAGTTCCTTGGTGGCTGAGGAAGTTCTGGTTCATGATGTTTTCTATCCCCTGCATCCACTTACTGTTATAGAATGGGGTTAGGACCAATAGTCCAACCCAGTATCTCTTATGCCTGGCTTTGGATGAGCAATAGACCTAGAGAGATACTACTTGAAGGTCCAAGCCATCCTTCCAAATATCAAGAAGTCTTCTGGGAGGAAGTTCTGTGCTGCCAGATTGAAGGGCTGACCATTATTGACTCTCAAAGAAATGTAATGGGACTAGTCCATGCTCAGTATCTCTGAAATCAGGCCAGTTACATTTTGAGGATTACAGCTCTTATTCCATAGTTCAGCTATGTGCTTTCATTATCTAGCTGTGTTCTTATTGTTTAATAAAAGAGGCTGAATGTTGAACAGCAAAAAAAATCATGAATCCTGTTGTGCTGATACACAGATGCTATGCAAAGAACTTCCTAGTGATGCATTCCAGAACACACAATCCAACTGTCAGTGTAATGATTATAGTGATCTGGACAAATGGGTGTGAAGTCAGATGTTGACTTTAAACAAGTTTGTTCATTTAAAGCAATCTGATATAAATTTTTAAATGTATGACACCCTTAATGACAATTTTTATCTAACCTGAGGCTGGCACTTCTCTCACTGAGTAAATGCTGATTAACTGCATAACCACAAGAACATCTTGTATGATGCAAATGAGGTCATGTATGAAATGAGTGTCATGTGTTTAAAGATTCTGCATGCTCCTTGAAAGGATCCAAAGTCATTGTTTTATACTACTACATTCTAGTCCTGAAAAAGCATTTTTTTAAACTCCAATATTGTGGAATCATGCTGATGACTCAATTCTCTCAGAAAACACTGTTTTGAGTCCTTGTTTCCTTTCTTTTCTTGCCTTATTTAAAAATAGTTGCCAAATACGTTTTGTGTATTTTAATTTTCTAATGCTTTCCTCCCCATCTATAGGTGCCAAATGTTTAGATTTATTTTTTGTTGTTGTTGCACAGACTGTCCAGCTAAGTACTAGATTGGCAGCTGGCTAGGAATCTTAAGGAAGCACTAATTTTTTCCCCCCAGATAGTCACCTTTAATACAGATGTGTGGTCTATATAGGCTGCCTGTACGAGCAAGCAATGTTTCTTGACCAGCTTATTCTTCTCCTCATATCAATGTGGGACATTGTGCTTGGACATAGTCTCCTTGGATTGCACATGGATTTTAATTGATTATCCTTTAGGCATTTCTGCTACCTGTGTTTAATAATAACAGTGCCTATAGCAGATGAATGTGGTACCTATCTACTTTACAATATGAGAAGAACCAAACTGATTAAAAACATCCTGATCCTAATTTTAAAATAACACTTTAAGCTTTGAAGCAGTAAACAAATATAAAAGTATAGTCTTAAAGAGGCTGACTAGACCAAAAAAAAGCTATTCATGTGATCTCACTAAAGTTAAGCTTTGACTAGGATCAGGTTGGGTGGGAAGAAAGTCTTATAGTCTCTCAAGATGTGCTTACTAACCATACTGAAAAACTGGGTTCTTGGCTCCCTTGCTCTGATCATACGCTAGGCTGAACTCTTACTTTTTCGATCTTTTGTCCTAGCAAATAGGTTGTAGTAATAAAGGTTCCTTACTGTTCACAAGGCAGGAATTTCTGCAGTGGCAGCTCCTTCTGTTTCCATGGGCAATTGCTCTTTGCTGGGGGAAGTGATTCAGTAGCAGGCTGGGCTCATTTTTTTTTATGTTCCAACTTGAAAGCTGCACTTTTGATTTTGGTGCTCTGGTTCTGGGATACCAATGTCATAAGATCAGGAGAATCATGGCAGTTGGCTCAGAAGTGAGTCTGTGCAGTGTAACCCATGTGTATATCCAGTTTAAGCCATAGCTGTGATGTTGGAGAGTGGGGGTTGATGGAAAGGGCCTTAGAGAATTCACTTGCCGATGTCCAAAAAAATGAGTTCCAGACTTCAGTAGCTGTGGCAACCTTGCTGATCTCAGCTGTTGTAATAGAACATAAGGTGAGAGGGTCCCTAAAGTAACAGGTGTTATAACATGTAGATTTGGAAAGATGATTACTGGCACTAGGATTGAGCCAGAACCAGTTAAAGTAGAGCTTGAAACACTGGTGTTCTGTTCTCTTAGGGTATGTCTAGACTACATCCTTCAGGTGACAGAGGGATATAAATTAGACATACCGACATTGCAAATGAAGCGGGGATTTAACTCTCCCGCGCTTCATTTGAATAAAAATAGCCGCCACGTTTTGCCAAGTCAGCAGTTTGTCAGCAAAAAGCGGCTCTCAAGATGGGGATCGGCCGACAAAGAAAGCCTTTGTTGGCCGATCCTGTAAACTTAATTTTACAAAATATAAAGGATCGGCTGACAAAGGCTTTCTTTGTTGCCCGATCCCCGTCCTGACAACTGCTTTTTGCTGACAAACTGCTGACTTGGCAAAATGTGGTGGCCATTTTTATTAAAGTGAAGCACGGGAGATTTAAATCCCCACTTCATTTGCAATGTCGGTATGCCTAATTTACATCCCTCTGGCGACAGAGAGATGTAGTCTAGACATACCCTTGATGACCAACCCTACTCAAAGTTGGTCTGTACTAGCTAAGTGATCATGGACTCATCAAAGATGACTAACTCCAGTAAAGTGTATTAACGTGAAAGGCCTGGATAGCTACAGCAATGTCTCTCTTGTGGATAAAAGATCCCAGGGTCTCTTATAAAAGATTGAGGTGATCATGAGTCACGTTACAGTATTCTCTGGTGTGTGTTTGATTTGTATAGAGTAAAAAATGTCTGTGGAACCAAATGTGCCTAAAGTTCTAATTCAGGTTACCTAAAATTTGTTTTTTAAATATGAAATTCATATTGGAATTTGAATTCACATATTATCAGATTATCCAGTGCTCTGGATACTCTCACTTATTTTCAGGTAGCTGGATAAGCAGAATTTGCCTGTATATAATGTATCAGACAGCATTTTGTTTTAGAACAAGGATTACGTAAGCAATTGAATGGTCAAAAATTCTTTTATCTAGCAGAGAAGGGGGAAGGATGGAGACTCAACTAGTAAGAGCTGTTTTCCATTAGATTGCAAATATCAATGAGAACAGAACACAGCATGCAACAATTTACAGGACAGTAGACACAGGCTAACATCTATCATGATTTAACAGAAGTATTTTTCAACTTTGAACTTGGTACATCTATGTGGGGTTTTTTTTAAAAGGAATGTAATGATAGGCTAAGTAGATTTATGTAAACTGGGAAGAGTACCAAACATCTTAAATAATAATATAGAGTTAATGCTTTGATTTTTCTTTAAGGACCTGCCCCATTTGGCTCCAGTTGGATAAAACATTACTGCATGTATAGGAAGGAGACAAAGAAATTCACCATGATCCCATTTGAACACAGGTCAGGAGGGAAAATGGTAAGTACATTTCATTATACTACTTCATGTCCTGTATCTAAATGAGAGGATATGTTAGAGAAGATACGTCAGCTATCTCTTTTTCTTGTAGTTTATAATTTGCCCTCTAAGGACAGTAACCTAAAATAATGGATGATTTAATAGATAAAGAGTCTGTATACGTTTTAGTTGCTTAGTTTTGGAAAAATAGAGAACATGAGAGATCTAAAATGCACTTATTGTGCCATTGTATGTGGTTTTTACTAAGGGAATTTAAAGGGGATTAGTCTGATTAAACCCCAAGTGTGAATTGAGAAAGTATAGTAGCATTAGGTTTTTGACTTGGAACATAGACAGACAGTTGAATAGGCCCAGGGAGGGGGAGATGATTGGAATATGAAGCATTTAAATAATGTTTAAGAGGGAATGCAATTTGCACAATTAGAAATATAATTTAAGCTTTCCTTGATAACATCTAGAACATTCAGGTTTCAGTCCTTTGTTGGATGCTGAATACGCTTATTCCTTATTGAAATGACTGGGAATTGAGGGCAGTCAGCATCTTTCAGGGCCCAGCCCAGTATTAAATGATGGCATTAGTATAAATGAAATATGTTTTTGTTACAAAAATAGTAAATGTGAAGGTGAAAAAGACATTTTAAATCTTCCAGTCAATCTTCCTGCAGATGCAGCATCCTGCTCTGTTTTTTATCCTGTTTAGTTTTAATAGTCCCCAGGGCTTGCACTGCAATGGAAGAGTGTAGCCATATACGATGGGTAAAGGCGAGATTGTTTTAAACATTCTTATTAAAATATATATTTCTTTAAATGTATAAATATGTTGAGCTTGCTTGGGTAAAATTTTCATAAGTGCTTAAATGATGTCAGCCTAAGTGATGTTAGACTCCTAGCAAGGTTCCCTCTAAGCTGTACGGCAGCACAGTCCTGCAGTTGCTTAATGAGCCCCTCCCTGCTGAGGACAGAACAGCGAGTCCTCGCCAAGGTTCATCATAGTCAGGTGACATCATTTGGATTTCAGTTTTTGCTATTACATCAAGCATATAAAACAAACTTTTGTTTGTAGGGTGATGGGGACATTTTCTTCCTTACATGCTGTACCAAAAGAAATATGGATACTATAGATAGGCGTTTCTGTTTTGACATAGAAGCTACAGACAGGTAAGCTGGTAAAATGTACTAAATAAAGCATCAGGGTAAATGTTTATAGTAATTTGGATTCTTTATACTGCTTCTCATTGTGAGGATCTCAAATGCACAGTAATAAAATGACTTTCTGCTAGTAAATCATCATTAGAGAAGTATCCAAACAGGGCAGTCATGGCTTTTTGGTTAGCTTGAATATCCAAGGTTATGAGGCAGTAAGAATCTACCTTCAAATGCAAACATTGCCTGAGGCTTTCACTTTGTAGAAAAAAGCATAAATAGGTGCATTATTTCTTGACTCATGCACTATTGTTCTCTGTGCACACTAGGACTGAGTACAATAATAATGAGAAAGTGGTGGCTGTAACTGTATTTGAAACACATATTATGGTGATGGTTTGCAAAGGTCACCATGGATAATCCACGCATTCATGACCACTTCTTGTCATGATCTTGTTTACTAAAAAGTTCACATCACCAAAAGTCCAAGACAGATTCACATCACCAAAAGACAGATTCTCTGTCTCTTCAATGTTAGAGGTAAGAGATCCATGGAGATTTGTTGTGGTTTGTTGTATGCTCATGGCGGAAACAAAAGACATACAACAAAACTGCATTTTGAGTATGTTAGAACCGGGTCATTTATTCTTATTATGGCATGCAAAGGCCATATAAAAGTCTAACGTAAAGTAGAACTTGAAAGTTACCAACATCGGTATTATGAACTGACTGGTTAATCACACACCTCATTTGGAACCAGAACTACACAATCAGGCAGCAGCAGCAGAACCCCTCCACACTCTTAACAACAACAACAACAAGAACAACAAAAAAGGTCAACTATAGTACAGTACTATGTTAAACATAAACTGCTAAAAAGGGAAAATTTTAAAAGTTTTTAAAAAGAAAGGAAACGGTAATTGTTTCATTTAAATTAATGTGGATAAAAGCAGTATTTTCCTTCTGCATAATAAAGTTACAAAGCTGTATTAAGTTAATGTTCAGAGTTACAGATAGCCTTCAGGTGTTCATAACAGAGACCCTACTGTGCTAATTTTCCATTACACAGAGTACCATGATGCATCCCACTCAATGCTACCGCCATCTCTCCAGTTTGACTCCATTTGCATTCTATTGGATGATTATCTCAAAATGTGTATTCATTTTGCCTGTCATAGCAATCTAATATTTTAAAATGTCAAATTTTATGTTTTCAACTTTGATCAGTGTCAAAGTGGGAGAAGCCAGTTTAGAAAGGAACTGTGATTACAAAAATATTGCTTTGGTTAAGCTGTGTTCCATTGGTTAACCAGTTCTCTCTGTGCACTGGACTAGAGTAGGTCTAATGTATAATGTAAGTTAGAATGTAAGAAAGCAGTTCCCTTTAAGCTGTGCACTTATGCAGCCACTCAGGAGAGATTCAAATGCTGCCCTGCTGATTAGCAGAGTGCCTGCAACTAGGCTTTTGTTTTTATTGGTGCACATTCACATGTGTTGATGCACATAACAATGGGTTCCACACATGGATGGGAGATTAGGAGGAACATTGTAGGAGAGTCCCATGAATTTCCAGTTATGGGTTTTAGGCTCCAAAATACTTAACTTAAACTGAATATTGGAGTATCTTTATGGATAACATGGTCAAATATAACCAAAACTTCCCTTACACTGATTGGGTATCCCGGGGAAGAGACTTTTCCCTGTGTGCCTTTTATCTGTAACCACCCAATTAATTAGCATGGATATAAAATTTGTATCTGCTTCCAATCCACAAAAATGGTTTGTGGATATGAAGTGGATAACCATGGATTTTAAGGGTGATTTAGTGGCTAATCTCACACATGCAAATTATCCTTTTTATTAAGCCCTATGCCAGTGTTGAACACATTATAATACTTTATCAGACCTCAGCGAAGCTACAGATTTTACTGTCACTCTCTTTTGGCTTCTGTGAGTGTGAAGAAATCCATAGGGTCTAGAAACATGTTTTAAAATAAGAGCTGGACTGTTTTTTAAAATGTTATTTTGTTCTTTGCCATTCCTTGTGACTCTGGCATGTCTTCCGAAGATGTGATGCTGGTGCTCTCTGTGACCTTATACACAGAGTAATCTGTCACTTTCTGTGGCTTCTCTCTAATATTTTTCTGATTTCATCCTTTTGCAGCTCTTGCCTTTCAGCCCCTCCAACTTGCTTCCTGAACTCACCAATTAATGCCATTCTAACAGTGTGTAGACTTCAAATTGTTCAGTCTTGTGTGGTCATTGTCAGTGCGCCGGAATGGAGTATGTTTGATCTTGCCCAATAGTTTTTAATGCCTATCTTCCCCTGGAAAAAACAGAACCAATTCCTGTTCACTGTGACCAGTACACGAAGTTGTCTCTTGTGGTACTGAGATGTGTCTCTTGGAGATAGAGGCTGTGCTGGCTACTCAGTAGAGGCCTGGTCACAGCTGGTTTAGGGGCTTAGCAGCTGCCCTAGCTTCATCAGTAGGAGTCTGAACAGCGCTGCCATGTATTGCTCAGATATTTTCCTTCCCTCCCCCCACCAATAGTCAAAAGGCTAACCATTGGTCCTAGGTTTTGTGTGTCCTATTGGCCTGAATACCCCAATAATTTTTAGGAAATAATCTCAGGTTTAACAACCAATTAGCATCTGTTTGTTTTCAAAGCTCTCTTAGCATGACATTAACTTTTATTTTCTTTTAATCAGAAAGCTGTGCTTGTCCTTTACGCTTACTCAGGCTCCAAAACTTGCCTCAAGCTAACAACAAACAGATACCAATTCTTCTGGTTTACTAGCTCATGTCACATTTGATGCTTTTCTACCCTCAAATTTTCACAACTTAATTATAGGTCTGTGCTGTGGGAATCCATTTAATGCTTTTAAGTACTCCAATTTCTTGAGAAATAGTTAAACTTCAGCATACTTGTCATTACAGTGACAGTGGAAGATGTTAGAAACTTTCCATATTTAACGTTTTTCATATCAGTTGGACAGATCACCCATATTTCATTCTTTCATACTGTTTCTATGTCTGCAACATGCACACTTTTTGCCTTTGCAGCAGAAGCTGAAAAATACCTGCACTTCTCCATAAAAGATTTATTCTAGCCCATTGTATGCTATTCACCCTGATAAGAGGCTTTTAATGACTGTAGTTTATGCCTTGATGCCATAGCACATGTCTTCCCACCAGGTTCTTGCTGCAGCACCTGGCAGCCCCGCCTCCTCTGTACACACCGCGGCTCTTGCTGCAGCACCCGGCAGCCCCACAGGTGCTCTGGGCTGTCTCTGCAGTGCCCAGCTCCTGCTGTCATGCCGAGCAGCCCTGCAATCTCTGCTCACCTGGTTCCTGCTGCCTTATTGTTGCATTGGGACTCCCACTACTTTGCTGGGAAGCCCTGCTGGCACGTGTGGCTACAGGGCTCTCAGTGCTAGCTATCCAGCGGGACTCTCTGGTCCTAGAACATCACACGGATATTGTCAGACCAGAGAATCCCAGTTGAAAGTTTCTACCTGTAGTGGCAAATTTTAAGAATTGAAACATTTAAATGCAGACAGCCATTGTGGAGGAGGGGAAGGAATAAATATCTCTCACAGAATAGCTTTGTACGAATACAGAACACGGATGATTCTCCTGAGATGCTCCATTCTTCTGAAATGCAACACAGAGCGAGAGAATGTGCATCTGTGTTGGGGGCATTGCATTTCTTTTTAGACTTTCTGATTTAATTTCAACATGGCCTACAAACAATGTCCTTTAGAAAATGTACTGAGTTTGAATTATTAGTTGGAGATCAGTTACAGTGCTTTCACTTCACTTTTTTATAATTCTAGCAAGGAGAAGGAGTAAGCACATTAGATAAAAATGGTACACTGGATTTTGACTTTCACAATTAAAATGGAAATAAGGAAAATGCTAAAGTATTGCATGGTCCTTTTGCTAGTTCAGCCTTTTCCCTGCTTTCCTTTCCTTTCCTTTCCTTTCCTTTCCTTTCCTTTCCTTTCCTTTCCTTTCCTTTCCTTTCCTTTCCTTTCCTTTCCTTTCAGACTTGTTCAGTTTTGTACATTTAGCATGGTAGAAATTGGATAATATTAAATGGCCATTTTAAGCTCTGAAAAACAGTTTTTGGCCTGGAAAGTCCTTCCATCCCCCTACTTTTTCTACAGGTTGAACTTCTCTGGTCCAGCACCCTTGGGACCTGATCAATGCCGGACCACTGGGGACCGGAAATGCTGAAATTAATTTGGAGAACCAAAAAGTAGTTGAGTTAATTCTCAGTTTTTGGTGAAATTAACAAACTTCTACTTTAAATAAGTGGTATATAGTGGATTGATATTTTTTTCTGTCTTCCTAATGTGGACAATATTTGTTCACTTCTGGGATATATCAATTTCAAAGGTGAACAATGTTTTATAATTTAACAAAGACAAAGTATGTTCTTGGATGTTGGATTTTTATGATGGTGATTGGAGGCACCATTGGAAAATAGGCAAAATTGATGTTATATGTGTTGGCTAATAAAAAACCAATGTAGTTATTTTTCCTTTATTGGTGTTCCTATAGATTTGTTACTCCTGTGACGATGCAGGCCTTTTCTGAGGAGGATAGAAAGTTGTGGATGGAAGCATTGGATGGAAAAGAAGCTGTAAGAATATAATATATGAATTATTTTCCAGATACAGTTACAGTCTAATGATGAAATCTTTGTTCTCTGATCAAATTGTCTGCAGTCCCCTTATGCCAGATTTACATAATTTTGAAAAATGATACATTTACTGAAAAAGAATATCAGTGAAATAAAACATTAGCACACAGTAGAGGTCTGTAAAGGTTGTGGTGAAACTGTGGTGTTTCATTTTAACAGCAAAAATTGATTTTTTCTTCGAGTGATTGCTCATGTACATTCAGCATAGGTGTCTGCCACATGCACTGGTGCTGGCAGTTTTCTCCTAAGCAGTACCCCTGGGGCCAGGATCATCAGCATCCCCTGGAGTAGCAGATGCATGCCGTGCTATATGGGGTGCCCCCCAACCTCACCCTCCTCAGTTCCTTCTTACAGCCAGTGATGGTACTTGGAACAGCAAGCACTCCCTTTTCATTCAAGTTCCCCTTACCAAATTGTGAAGTACCTGCGAACTGTTAACTTCTGTGAAAGACTCTGCCTGGGGAACAGGGCATGTCCCACTCACCCAGCTTCAAAGCCCGTGCTGCGTGTCACAGGCCCATGCCAGTTAGTGACCTACATGCTGACTGGGGGTACAACACACGTTGGACAAGTTTCTCATTTGCAGGTCCTTCTGTTCCAGAATATTAAGGATCATAATATTTGGCTTAAAGCGCTCTTGATTGGAATTCACACTATGTCCGTCAGACCAGCGATCAGACTCAGCAATGGGTCCCGGCACTGCAGTTCACTGCTGGTGTCAACAGCTTAGCCACTGGCCCCTGCTAGGAAGCCGGGAAGAGACAAGTTCCCTTGTAAGGACAAGGGGAGGAAGGGTGATCAACACGCAAATAGGCCGGAGAAGATCTAGAAGGCAGTGAGTGTGGTGCCTGGATTGCCATCATTGGTGTTGGAGATCTGTCTTCCCTCCACACCGGAGACCTTCCAGGCCACACAGGACATAAGTGTCATGCCACTTCCACCCCCGATGCCCAGGATCAGTGGTGCCCATGGACTACCTGAGGCTTCCTGGTTCAGCCCCAGGTTACCCACTCATTTGCCGGTGCATGCCAAGCCCTATTGGTGCCACCAGGGCCTCACGGTACCCACTCCTGCCACCCTCAACAGGTGTCCCTAGCTACTACCTCTTCATCGCAAGATGAGGCAATCGTGATGAGGCAATCGTGAAGGACCACCAGGACCTACTCAGTAGGGTAGCCAATAGTCTGGGGCTGCAAGCTGAGGTGGTGCAGGAATCCTTGGTCTTGTTTGGAGTCTTGGGTCAAGCGGACCAAGGAAGTGTGTCATTGGCCACCTCATGAGGTGGTTGCCAAAATTGCCACGGCACTCTGGCAGACATCCTCCTCCATTCTGCCAGTAGCCAAGAGGGCAGAATGGAAGTACTTTGTCCCAGCGGTGTAGGGGGGAGCATAACTTCCTTTATACCCACCCACCACCCAAATCCATTGTGGTGGAGTTTGTGAACCACCGGGAGTGCCGGGGTCAGCCAGCGCCCACCCCTAACAAGGAAGACTCCAAAAGGTTGGACTTGCTTTTGAGAGAAAGGTCTACTCCTCAGCCAGCTTCCAGCTGAGGGTGCCAAACCACCAGGCTCTGTTTGCACTATATGGCATGAACACCTGGGTGGGCGCTGGCAAAATTTGAGGCCTCCTTGCCCAAAGTGCGTCTCAAGGAGTTTAAGGCCCTCATTGAGGAAAGTTCCTCCGTGGCACTGGTGGCTCTAAAACAGGGATCTGATACTGCAGACTCAGCAGCCCCATGGCATGAGCCATTCGTATGAGGAGGGCAGCCTGGCTCCTCCTGTTGGGTCTGTCCCCATAGGTGCAGAACTCCATTCAAGACCTGCCATTTGACATAGGGACCCTGTTCACAGAACAGATGGACACAAGTTAAACCCTCAATGCATTCCACGTGCGCGTCTAAATGGACCCGTTTCTCCATGTGGGTGCAGCAGTGGCTGGTGGTCCCTCACGAGGCATCCCTTCAGGAGATCCTGGATGACCTGCTGTCCCTGAAACGCCAGGGCCTGACCTTGGCCACCATCAAGGCTCACTTGACAGCTATTTTCGCTTTTCATCCACCGCTGCAAGGTTGCTCGGTTTTCTCCCATGGGTTTACCTCTCAGTTCTTAAGGGGCCTGGAAAGGCTCTATCCCCCAGGTTAGGGACCCTTTCCTTCAGTGGGACCTGAACCTGGTTCTGGCATGGCTCATAGGATCACTGTTCGAGCTGTTAGCCACAAGCTCAGGTCGCTTCTCTCCTTCAAGGTGGCTTTCCTGATTGCTATTACCTCTGCTAGAAGAGTATCAGCATTGATGTTGGAACCTGCATATACCTGGTTCTTCAAGGGCAAGATAAAGCTTCAGCCACACCCGCCTTTCTGCCTTCCATGTGGACCAGGACTTTTTTCTGCAAGTTTTCTGCTCCAAGCCTCATATGAACAACAAGGAGAGGCACTTCCAAACCCTGGCTGTGTGTTGGATGCTGGCTTTCTACCTAGAGGTTACGTCTAGACTGCAGGCTTCTTTTGGAAGAAGCTTTTCCGGAAAAGATCTTCCGAAACAACTTCTTCTGAAAGAGAATGTCCACACTGCTAAAGCGCATCGAAAAAGCAATCGCTTTTTCGGAAGATAGCGTCCACACTTCGGAAAAAAGCTTCTTCCTTGTAGAAAGAGGTTTACCAATGTCAGAAAAAACCCTCTGTTTTTTCAATTTTCTTTCAAAAGAATGTGATTGCAGTGTGGACCTAAGTGAAGTTTTTTCAGAAAAATAGCCATTTTTCAAAAAAAAAAAAAAAAAACCCTCTGCAGTGTAGACCTAGCTGGAGAGGACATGGGCCTTTCACAGCTCAACGCAGCTGTTTCTGACCTATGCAGAGCACAGGACGGGTTCCCCTATCTCCTCCTAAAAACTATCTAAATGGATTACTTCTTGCAGCCTCATATGTTATGAGTTAGTGGGGCCTGGCCACCAGAATCAATTAGGGCCCACTCCCCTAGGGCTCAAGCTTCCTTACAAGCTTACCTCGCACATGTCCTGATCTAGGATATCTGTAGGGCAGCAAAATGGTCATTGGTATATATCTTCACATCTCACCAGGCCCTCACACAACAGGCTAGAGAGGATGCTGCATTCAACAAGGCTGTTTTGCAGTCTGCATGTACATAACTCCAACCCTACTGCCGCAGATACTGCTTACAATCACCTATGTTGAATAGTCATGAGCAATCACTTGAAGAAGAAAAGGCAGTTAGTTACCTGTTCTGTAGCTGGTTTTCTCTGAGATGTGTTGGTCGTGTCCATTCAATCTTCCACCCTCCTTTCCTCTGTTGGAGTTCTGGGAAGAAGGAACTGAAGAGGGCTGAGCCAGGGGTACCCTATATAGTGTGATAAGTATGTGCCACTCTAGGGGGTGCTAGAGACTCCAGCCCGTATGCTTAGGGAAAAACTTTCAGCACTAGTGCCCATGACAGGAACACATACCTGTGTTGAATGGACATGAGCAATACAACTCGAAGAACGCCAATTACAGAGCAGGTAACTGTCTTTTTTTTATAAATAGATGCCATTACAATGATGATATGACTATTCTAGTTAATGGTAAATGTAGACTTAATCACTTTCCCTGATAACCATCTACTCTATTCCAAGAGACTTGCACGAGCCATCATGTGACAGTATTTCCATAAGTTTTCAAAAGATACAGTGTACACTGGGAAATAAGGGTCTGTCTCGAAAATAATTTTTTTAAATCCATTAATAATTGGTCATCCTGTTTCTGGTTCACATGAAGGTACTTCAGAAATGGGCTGGAGTTGCAGTTAGGCTGTTCTTGTTATAATTAGGTATGTTAAAATGCATTTGATTAAGTAACTGTAAATGCTGAAAATTTCAGTGATTACATGCAGGCTGCATTTAGCTCCTTAGGAGTTGGGGGAGCTGGCTTTTAAACCCGCTCCCTGTGAGTGCCTGATTCCACCTGGCCCCCTGTGCTTCTGCCTCTGATACAGATGCAGCAGTGGTGGGAAGGTGGGTAAAGGGGGATCAGGCAGCTCCCTGGGAGCTGATGTGCACTGGGAGCCTGCTTTAAATTCATGCGCAGGGGGCTACCAGGAGCCTTTGTGTAACCCTGAAGGTTAACTAATGAGTTCAAGCTCTTTGGTTAATAGTGTACATGGTTACACTTTCGTATTCCCAGTTATAATTCACCAGAACTTGATTTACCCAGCAAAATTCAGCCGTTATATAATGTTGAGTTGCCAGTAGTTCTGGAAAAATCTAATTGAAAAGTATTGTTTAGGTTGAACTGACATGAACATTTGCATGTATTTTAGTTGCCATGATGCCACTTGAGAGATGTAATACAAGTGCTTTTTGCCTCCAATGCCCTCTCTAGGCTGAACTCCTTGGCCAGATTGCTGTGCATATACAAAAGATGTAGTCAGCCAGGAAGTCTGTGCATAGAGAAGAATGGGGGAATAGGGCACTTAACTACAACTCTTGTAAGGCTCTGTGGTAGCTTAAATGGTTGCAGTTTAATGTTGATCCAACCCAAAACGTAATGTCATTCCACAAAAGTTTAAATAGTTTGACTTCATGCTCTTGGGAACAAACACAAATGTCAAATATCTGAATTCCCCATGAGCTGGAAATTGTTGTTCTGTCTGCTCTAGGTTAACATACTGTATCAAGGGAGGCCCAGTATTCGTTAGCCGTCAAGTGCTGAAATTGTGCCTGGCATTAAGCAGGAAGCATCTTGATTCTGTTTGTATAAACTTGTTTACTGCAGAGCACTCACATTTTTTTTATTTTTCAATCAGCTGTTCATCAATTTGAATAGAGCTAACACAAAACGGGAGGGAAGTAAGTACCTGGAGCTACTATTTAAACTAATACTTATATTAAACATGCTTATACTTTTTAAAAATAAATATTAGGGTTTTTTTTAAATGTTAAATGTTTACCATTTAAATTCTGAAATGCATAGATAAAATGTTTAACAAGAGGTTACGCACTTTTAAAAAGATCTTAACTGTCATAATTTAGGCCACGATTCTGAGAAAATTGTATGCTCATTCTTAATTCGACTAACATAAGCCATCTCACAGAAGTTAATGGTTCTTCTCACAGGAGTAAAATTAAACGCACACATAGGTGTTTGCAGGATTGGGGGTCTAAGTTCTCACCTGCTTAGAGAAAAAAACATCCCTGTTCATATCAACTCATTTCATACAATAAGTACTTTTAGAGTACAATTTACTTCTAAGCATAAGAAAACCAAATTTGTATGGCAGTCAGAAACAAGAGCATAAAGATTAATTTCATATGTACATAATAGTATAAAATATAGCAGTTTTGCAAAAGTAGTGAGTTAATGTAGCAACGAGAATCAAAACTTGTGTGTCTTCAAAAACGGAACCATGATCTGGCACTCAAAAATATATATGTATTTTTTTTACTGTTGGCCTTTTCCTTTGGAGCATGAGGTAGTGATGAATGTTGAAACACATTTTTAAGGGCCACAGCTGGGCAGATTATTATTGGTAGCAATGAAAATGTGGATTTAACTTCCTCAATGCACAGCAGTTCATTGTAGAAATAATTACATAAGCATTAAAAAATTATAAAATATGTCTTTCTAAAAAGCCTCAGCTCACTGAGCATAAACCTTCAGTAACTATGTTGGCTTTACACAGAATCTTGATTGGCAAACAATGAAGATACAGCTAACAGTCCTAGATGGAAATTTGACTTTCTTCTCTCCTGTCTTACTTGATCTGTCATATGTCCTCCAAAGTAAGGTCTTAGTTACCCATAGGTCCTCTGATTCAAAAGTTCATTGTCGGAGCATATTGGCTGCTCCGAGACCTTCAGTCTTGCAACATCGCACAACTCTTCAGATGTTAGTTATTGAGTTAGAGCCAAATTAACACTTCTTAGCATTTATGCCTCTTCTTCTCAAAGGAGTCACATGTCCCAGAAATATGCCCTGTGGGTATTTCATTGCTCATTTTTCTGATTAATACTATGGAAGGAACTGAAAAATGGACAGAGACCAAAGATCAGTTGACATGTACCCCTCCATCAATCATTCATTTGGACTCTTGGTACGGTGCAATCCCAAAAGGTCATTTTGACCTGGGTCAGCTTGTTCCAACCTCACTGCTCACATGTTTTTGTGGTTTCTTTACTTGGTGAGTTGTCCTTCAGTGGATATGTTCCAAAATTCCATGTTGAAAAAAATGCGCGCGCACCTCGCCTCCCCCCACCTCTTCCATTCACACTCATAATTTTCCATATAGACTAATTTGAGAACTCTGATCCAGGAATTCTCTAGCCAATTTAGACATCTCAAACTCATGTTGATCATATTCCTTCATATCAATCATAATAATTTGACACCATCCCAATAATCAAGGTAGCTATTCTCTCTGTGTTCAGGGGTTAACGAGTGTGTTGTATGTAATATTGGGATTTATTCTGCTCACTATTAAGTGAACGGAAAAACTTCTTCACCTTCACTGTAAGCATGATCCTGAAACATGAAGGGTTAAGAGTAGATGGTTGGATGAAATGTGGTTTTGGAATATGACATTTTAAATTATGTTTTGGTTTAATCTAAAAGGGATTAGACAGTGGTGTGGGAATTCTTTTGGCTTATTTATGACATAAAGCATATTTCATTGGGGATGATAGGATGATTTTATATAGAATACAATATCTTCTGTACAAGCACTCTCTTGTCCAGTTGAGTTACCTTTCTTAGATTGTATTCACTATGTACAATACTTTTTAAAGGAGGCATTGGATCCATTTTTAGGTATGTTGAAATTATAGCTAAGAAGCTATAAATAATGATTTTTTATTAAAAATTTAATATTTCAAACCTCAGGGTGTCATTTCAAGAAGTTGTTAAAAATTAAAATATTTTAGCTTCAAAATTGATGTAATCATATCTTTAATAAAAGGCAAGTTCACATGAGACTTCTCTTCATCTGATTTTTCACTTGATTTTAAAAGGGAATATCATAGAATTATTTAAAGAAGCATGGAAATATAGTTATTGTATTTTTGGTTGTTAGTTGAAGGTTCTCCAACAGAAAACCTCCGTGCACATTTTACTTTTATGGATGTGGTTTAGGAATTGGGGTTTTCCTTCAAAAACCAACACTGCATAAAGCAAGTACTCAAATATGCAAGATCCTGCAGGATGTATTCCAATGAGCTGAGAATTTTTTAGGGTTAGTCTGTCTTGCTTTGCAGCAAATATTCTTAATTAGAACCATATTTTGGCAGGAGAAGAATGTGGTTTAAAGGTCCAGTTCTGGAAAGACTTACTACTGTGACTAGACTCCTGAAGTTACTACACCACAGAACAAGGGCCTGCAGCACTGGGTCTGTACAGATACATAAGAAAATAAAAACTCTAGAAGACGTAACCAAGTGCTTACTCCTGGAAATCTTTCTCAGTTTTGCCTGAGTGAGAGCTGTCTGTAGAAGGGCTCTTATATTTCTCTCTACCAAGAAAACAATACTATATTGGCTTTGAGGTTTTGAATCTTCTGGCATGTCTGCGTGAACACTTACTGCACAGCAAGTGGGGGTATATATCTTCAGCTTTCCAGTGTGTTGCATACTAACTGTCCTGGGAACCCCTAATGAGGTGCGCTAAAAGTTGTTTAGTGTGCATTGATGTACTATGGATTGAAACAGACGTAGGTGGAAATGTGTTGGACAGTGTCTGGAGCATCTACGCAGACAGTTAGTGTCTGGAGCATCTACTCAGACAGTTAGTGTCTGGAGCATCTACGCAGACAGTTAGTGTGAAGCATGCTGGAATGCTGTAAATTTACACCCCTGCTTGCTGCATGTGTTTATATAGACATGCTATCTGAGAGAAAGATGACAAATGTATTAATAATTGTGCCTAAAACCTTCTCAAACTGTTTTTCCTCATAGGTGCACAGTTGGATAAGATAGGGTTCACAATTCTGAGAAAATGCATCAGTGCCGTTGAAACAAGAGGTAATGATCAACTCAGCCAAGTGCTACTGCTCATGAGGGAAGGCCAAGTGGCTGAGGCCTGGGAGAAAGTGGGAATGGTGTGTGTGAGTGGATCTGATATAGAGTCTCACCAGTCCCACTGTAGAGCTTAGATCTTCTGGAGTCCAGAGGCAGAAGAAGCCATTTAGCTGTGGTTATGTTCTGGGTAGATTCGTAGAACTAAAGGGTTAGAAGAAACCACAAGGGTCATTTAATCTAGCCTCCTGCCAAGATGTAGGATTTGTTTGGTCTAGGGGAATTTGCTATTGCTTATATGAAAGTGTATCCTGTACTCTTGAGGAAACCCCCATGGAGAGTCTGTATCAGGGGTGGGCAATAATTTTTAAAAGGGGTTCATTTCACAAGTTTCTGAAGTGGCCCAAAGCCACCCCGGAAGGGGCAGGGCCTTGGGCAGAAGGGGTGGGACCAGGAGATTTCTCTGCTCCCACGCCCATAGAGCCTGATTGGCCTGGGGGAGTGTGTAAAGTTCCTCCCTGAAGAATCGCAACAGCTGGCTGTTTCCTCAAGGTGCTGCAGAGGGAGGAGACCTCGTGCTCTCTCCATCCTCAGGTCTTGATTGGCCTGAGAGCACCAGGGCAGCCACAGGCCAGATCCACTGGCTTGGTGGGCTGGCCCGCAAATGCCCTTTCCCCCCACCCTTGATCTGTAGGCATATAGTCTACCACGCTTTTCTGTCAAACTTCATGCAATCCAAGAGTGTGCGCAAAAAGTTCTGGGGATGACTCCGTTGCTACCACACAGGAGGTTTTATATTTTGCCAGTGGTTACGGGGGCACTATCCAGGGGTATGTACTGTAGAGTTCCTACTCTTCCTCACTCTGCAGAATATATAAGGGGCTTTATATGATGCTATTGAAGCTTTTTACTTTTTAAAAGGTACAATGTATATTGAAAGACTTGTCTTTAAAGAGAACAAGGTCTAATGAGGCTGGACAGTGGAATAAACTAATGTGGGTTCATTTTTTTTCCTTATAAGAGAAGAATAAATGAAAAGTGGTAATTTTCTTCCCTCCCCTCTCTCCTGCATTCTTCTTGACATGAAAAGAGCAATTGGAATTTCAGGATATGAATTTTTCTTCCCCTCTAAATGTGTCCAACTTAATGCTCCTGAAGATGAGTTTACCAGTGTGACCATACTGGAACTTCTAGTTCTGTAGAGTGAATAATGTTGCACAGAGCAGAAAATTAATATCTTTCAGTTGTGTTGTATGTCACTTTTTTTACTAATAGGATACAGGGGCGTTAACAATGGCTGTCACATCCACTGACCGTGCAGGATCTTGCTTACTAAGCAGTTTTCAAGTTGTATTTTTAGAATCTCATATGATTGATAAATACAAGTATTTTTGTGAAGTTGGGAACTTAACCATTAATAACAAAGAAAGATCTCAAGAACTGTTTTCACTTGGCTTTTAACATCAATCGACTCTGATAGATTTTTGAATAATTTCAGATTAGACTAGATGTGAACTGCAATTATTCTGTGCTTTTTGCTTTTAAAAATAGTTGTCAGATTTCCTTAGTCTAACCCATGATTTCAATTATTCTAGTTACTAACAGTGGTTTTGAACTGTGGCCCATGGATTATGTATAAGGAGTCTGCAAACTGACTGAACAGATTTCAATGATGAATCTAGTCAACAGATTTCCAAAGGGTTCTGCACCTCCTTTTGAAATCTAGGTCCCCACAAATGAAAACTGGTTGAGAACCTCTGATCTAGATTAAGATCGTGTGTGTGTGTGTGTGTGTGTGTGTGTGTGTGTATACCATCAAGCTGATAATATGTAAATAAGACTTAAAACATATGCTTTTCTTCACAGCAGTGGGGAAGTCACAAGCTCCTTTAATGCTGGTCCACATATAGAATGACAACCTGCTCCTGCTATCATTTATACCAGTGTTCCTTAAACTGTTTGAGACTGAGGAACACCAAGGATTTTTTGTTTGGGGAGGGGAGGGGAAGGATTGGGGGAAAAGTTATTCAGGGGGAAAATAAAGTTGCCTACCCCTTTAAGGGTGGCCATTTTGAACTCTGCTGTTCTCCGTGGCATGTCTCCAATAGCCTTGTGGCACACCGGTGTGCCGCGGAAAACAGTTTAAGAAATACTGATTTATCCTGTTTGCTCAAGTAGAAGGGATCTGTGTGGTAGATCTGCTGATGAGCCACATAATTGCCAATATGATGCATGTGATGTACATTGTTTTTAAATTAGGAAATTACACACTCAGAGCTATGTTAAATTAACAAGTTACAGAGTCAAAAGTGCAAATGCTACATGTGAAGCAGGAGTCTAGCAGACAACAATCTTCCTACACAACTATTGTTCATTCCTATCACTTGTCTAGTCTGTGCCTGAATGAGGTATAGTCTCTAGGGAAAAGAATTGTGATGATGCAATTGAAGATCATATCGCAATGCATACACACAAAGGGGATGAATTCCGGAATTTCTTATCTTTGGAGTGCTTGACTTTGTAACCTTAGTAATGTTTTAATATAGTTACTATATTCAATATATATAGTAGATGAAATGTATAGTGATGGTTAATATTGAAAACAAAATATTTCTTTCTTATTTTAATTTTATTAAGAATTTCAAAAATAAATATTCAGGGGTGGGTGTAGGCAGTATGTCTGCTATTTAGTAAACCACAGTACACCCAGTTTTGGCCTGAGGAAAACATGACTTGGAAATTGTATACAAAGTCATGGTTGTTGCTTATCTGTTCATTGACTCTGAACATACGCAAGATGTATTTAAAAACAAAATCTTGCCTTGTGAACGAGATGTGCTGTTGCTCTCATAAGGATGGAAGATCAGTTTCTGCACTTGCATTTCTACTGATGTCCAGTAAGCTGTGTGAGCATTAAGTGATGAAAGAGTTTCAGCAAGTCTCCTTGATGTACCTTTTATAATAATAATATGAAGAAAAATGTTGACTTTCAAACCTCCAGGTTTTATACCTAGGGAAGTGAAGATGCACTAAACTCAACCTTATAACAACTTTTACTGTGACTAGAGTAAGTTGCCAAAGTAATGTTCAATAAAAGAAAATAGAAGACAGATGCTCCTCAGAGTCTGTTTCTGTATGCCATGTTTTATCTCTTTTAATCATAATGGGTGTGAGGTTCGTGTGGGAGGAAAGAGAGGACAGTCTAGTGTGGGTGGAAACTGAGAATAGTCTTGTCATGTCATAGCAGAAAACTCTGGTATGAAAAAAAAATGAAAACATATTGAGCATTAAATTGTCAATGGCTGAATGATTTTCTCAGTTTGTTATTCATTTTTATCAAGCTGAGAAGAAATAAGTCACTTTGAATAAAAAAACCTATACTTCAACTCAAAGTAGTATTAGCAACTAGACTAGAAGTTTTGTGAGCTGCTGCATAAAGATATAGCTGTAACTTACTAAGTTAGAAAACTTGAGCTATTAAATCAGTATATTTAAAAAAACCCTCCTTGAGCCTATATTTTCCTCTGCATAAATGCAACTCTTATATACAATAACTGTGAGCAAGACTGAATGTTCTTTGTTGTTCCATTTTGATTTACAGCTCAGCACCTTAGTTGATAATAAAAGTGAGAGAAAAAATTCTAGAAATGTCAGAGTGCTGTTCTTCCAATAGGAAAAAAAACCTGTGTTAGACTATTTTTCCTGAGCACTCATTAGGTGGCATTCTATAAAATGTCAGTGCAAAGGGTTAATAACAAATTTCTACTTTAGTACTGCGGCAGAACCATTCTGAGATGTAGGGACAGATGGCAGCAGTGAGCCGTCATCTCTGTTTTTCCTCAGTAAGAATTTTTGTTTTTCTGGTGAGGAGAAAGTAGGGAACTTTCCTCTAGAACAACCTGATATTACCTTGATCTGCCAGTGTGCATGTATGAGCACATCCACACTACATAAGTGGACGTGAAACGTGTTGTTTCTGCAGCTACATTAATAGCTTGCATTAGGGGTGTCTATTAAGAAAACCCCTCATCTAAGCTGCACATACAGGCAGTCCCCGAGTTACGCGGATCTGACTTTTGTCAGATCCGCAGTTACGAACAGGGCCCTCCCTCTCCCTGGTCTCCAGCAGACCAGGGAGAGGAAGCAAAGCGGCGGAACACGCAGGCAGCGGACAGCCCAGACACGTCTGGGTTGTCCGCTGCCCGCGTGCTCCGCCGCTTTGCTTCCTCTCCCTGGTCTGCTGGAGACCAGGGAGAGGGAGGGCCCTGTTCGTAACTGCGGATCTGACAAAAGTCAGATCCGCGTAACTCGGGGACTGCCTGTATGTGCAGCTTAGATGAGGGGTTTTCTTAATAGACACCCCTAATGCAAGCTATTAATGTAGCTGCAGAAACAACACGTTTCACGTCCACTTATGTAGTGTGGATGTGCTCATACATGCACACTGGCAGATCAAGGTAATATCAGGTTGTTCTAGAGGAAAGTTCCCTACTTTCTCCTCACCAGAAAAACAAAAATTCTTACTGAGGAAAAACAGAGATGACGGCTCACTGCTGCCATCTGTCCCTACATCTCAGAATGGTTCTGCCGCAGTACTAAAGTAGAAATTTGTTATTAACCCTTTGCACTGACATTTTATAGAATGCCACCTAATGAGTGCTCAGGAAAAATAGTCTAACACAGGTTTTTTTTCCTATTGGAAGAACAGCACTCTGACATTTCTAGAATTTTTTCTCTCACTTTTATTATCAACTAAGGTGCTGAGCTGTAAATCAAAATGGAACAACAAAGAACATTCAGTCTTGCTCACAGTTATTGTATATAAGAGTTGCATTTATGCAGAGGAAAATATAGGCTCAAGGAGGGTTTTTTTAAATATACTGATTTAATAGCTCAAGTTTTCTAACTTAGTAAGTTACAGCTATATCTTTATGCAGCAGCTCACAAAACTTCTAGTCTAGTTGCTAATACTACTTTGAGTTGAAGTATAGGTTTTTTTATTCAAAGTGACTTATTTCTTCTCAGCTTGATAAAAATGAATAACAAACTGAGAAAATCATTCAGCCATTGACAATTTAATGCTCAATATGTTTTCATTTTTTTTTCATACCAGAGTTTTCTGCTATGACATGACAAGACTATTCTCAGTTTCCACCCACACTAGACTGTCCTCTCTTTCCTCCCACACGAACCTCACACCCATTATGATTAAAAGAGATAAAACATGGCATACAGAAACAGACTCTGAGGAGCATCTGTCTTCTATTTTCTTTTATTGAACATTACTTTGGCAACTTACTCTAGTCACAGTAAAAGTTGTTATAAGGTTGAGTTTAGTGCATCTTCACTTCCCTAGGTATAAAACCTGGAGGTTTGAAAGTCAACATTTTTCTTCATATTATTATTATAAAAGGTACATCAAGGAGACTTGCTGAAACTCTTTCATCACTTAATGCTCACACAGCTTACTGGACATCAGTAGAAATGCAAGTGCAGAAACTGATCTTCCATCCTTATGAGAGCAACAGCACATCTCGTTCACAAGGCAAGATTTTGTTTTTAAATACATCTTGCGTATGTTCAGAGTCAATGAACAGATAAGCAACAACCATGACTTTGTATACAATTTCCAAGTCATGTTTTCCTCAGGCCAAAACTGGGTGTACTGTGGTTTACTAAATAGCAGACATACTGCCTACACCCACCCCTGAATATTTATTTTTGAAATTCTTAATAAAATTAAAATAAGAAAGAAATATTTTGTTTTCAATATTAACCATCACTATACATTTCATCTACTATATATATTGAATATAGTAACTATATTAAAACATTACTAAGGTTACAAAGTCAAGCACTCCAAAGATAAGAAATTCCGGAATTCATCCCCTTTGTGTGTATGCATTGCGATATGATCTTCAATTGCATCATCACAATTCTTTTCCCTAGAGACTATACCTCATTCAGGCACAGACTAGACAAGTGATAGGAATGAACAATAGTTGTGTAGGAAGATTGTTGTCTGCTAGACTCCTGCTTCACATGTAGCATTTGCACTTTTGACTCTGTAACTTGTTAATTTAACATAGCTCTGAGTGTGTAATTTCCTAATTTAAAAACAATGTACATCACATGCATCATATTGGCAATTATGTGGCTCATCAGCAGATCTACCACACAGATCCCTTCTACTTGAGCAAACAGGATAAATCAGTATTTCTTAAACTGTTTTCCGCGGCACACCGGTGTGCCACAAGGCTATTGGAGACATGCCACGGAGAACAGCAGAGTTCAAAATGGCCACCCTTAAAGGGGTAGGCAACTTTATTTTCCCCCTGAATAACTTTTCCCCCAATCCTTCCCCTCCCCTCCCCAAACAAAAAATCCACACACCCTGCCTGCTATAGCATACAGTTGAGACAATGGGCTTGTTTTGCTAATAGTAAATTTGTTTTACTAAGAAACCATGTATGTCCAAGTCAAGCCCTGGTGCTTCAAGAGCCAGAATTAGAACATGAAGTGGGGAGCCTTGCAGCACCCAAAACTGCTGATAGTGCTCTGTTCAAAGGCCTCTACTTCTGGCTGAACCAATAAGAATTGACATTTTAGTGGGCAGTAACTAATACTCTAAAATGAATCCGTTTCAGTTACTCTTCAGTAATTAAAACTTTCAAATCTAAAATAATATATCAACATGCTTTTGTGTGTTTTATTTAAAATTTCATTAAAATAAAAATGGTGTTGAAAAGCATTAATTTCCTTCTGCACCTCTCATTATGCATTAGCAATTAGCGTTGCTTCTTTCAGGTTGATGAATTTGAACTTGATCAATTATCTGATAGTAATTGCCACCACAGAATATTATTGCTAAAGTGCCATCCTAGTTTCAATATTACCATCATTTCAGACACTTTATAGCAGCACATCTGTTTTTAAAATCAACTAATGAGTTGCTGTGGAATTTCCTTAATTATTTTTAAACATAAGATACCAATGCTTTTTGAGTCAAGACTATTTTGTTCTTACAAGTTTTAATGTTAGCCGTTCAGTAAATCAATATACAGCCTGACAGCTTAAGTTTTTGAGATGAGCAAAACCAATAAAATAGATTTAATTGTAAGAAAGTTGCTTCAACTTTTCTTTGTTTCTTGTGCACTATATAGAAAAGTACCTTTTACAGCACAAGAAACTAAAGTTGGATCTTCTTGCAAAAAGGCTTGGTGCCATTTGGCAAAACATTAAAAAGATGCATATTATTACCAAAGATCTATATATCTGTGGGCTTTCCCAGGGAGTTCTCAGGGAAATTCAAGCAAGAATTGCTCTTTGCTTTGCATCCTCTTCATTCCCCCAAGATTTCCAGTGCTTCCTAGTTTTGGGTGGGTCTGATTATTTTAATTGTTTCCTGCTAGCAGTTTTCTAGGCAGTATGTAGTACATATGTGGTGATGATCTTAGTCTTAAACATAGAACTGTCTGGAAAATCCAGAGGTATACAAAGTTAATTTTGTATTTATAAATGTATGTTATAATATCATGAGCGCCATGGCCATTTAAACAATAAGAAAGTCGAAGAAGAAGAAAGAAAATATGGAGGACTTTGCATATTTCAAGATGTTTTGACCACTGAGGGTAGTAGGCAGTGGGTGGAGGTGTCTCTCTTGTGAAGCTGCTAGAGTAATTCATTAAGAATAATATTTATTGTGAATGTTACTTATGATCAGTGCTTTTTTTTGTGTATTAAAAAAAATGATGCCAGTACTCCAGGGGAAAAGTTTTTGAGCTCTGACTGTAGGTGCCGGTACTGCGTACCAGGCAGTACTGTCACAAAAAAAGCACTCTTATGATTGACATTTATCTAATATTTATTTAGGAATAAGCATTCCATTGTTTGACTAGTTTAACTTGTGGTTTGTTTGGTTTTTTTGTTCTATTTTAGAACTGCTGTTGAATTTGGAATTTCACCACAGATCATTGTCCTCTGTATGTTGTGTTCTTAACTAACAATAAAATACGAAAAATAAGAGCCAATAACACAAAACCTACTATGTAGTTAAAAAGAGAACATAAAGGTTGTTCTCAATATTCATACACTGGAGAATTTCTGCATTTCCAGTTCTGGGTCCATAATATATCAGGAATTAGTGAGTTGGTTATTGTAAATTGAATTTCATTAAAGCCCCAAAGTCAAACAGAATCTCCACTACTGTGATGTGTTTTGTACAGACATATAAAAGGATGGGGTAAAGGGATTCAATATCCAGGCAAAGTGATCAGGGTGAAGGTGGGCATACAATTTGTGAGGGTTTTTTTCAACTTCTTTAATGTTTTTATTTAAGCGTAGTTTTTTGGAGGAGGGTTATGTGGGATTATGCGCAGGGGGGGAGAGGGAATGTTGAAGTGAAAAGGGATTAAATAAAGGGTAAACGATAAGGGAGGGTGAAAGGAAAGTGAGTAGCATAATGACATGTTGAATGAGGCTGGGCAGCTAAATGGTTGCAATGGTGAGGCCTGTGGTCAGATGGAAGATAAGCAACAATCAGTGGCAGTGGAAAGCAAGAGAAAATATTCAGAGTCCATGTTCCAGAGCTGAATAAATCTGGAGAGCAGAAGGCTATGCTCATCTAGCTGTTTGGGTTGCTTCCCACATAGAGGAGAGAAAAGAAAGTATTGGCCTCAGTCCTGGAGTTAGGTTCCTCTCAGTATACCCAGTGTGGGGAGCACCTTGGAACCAAGCCTTGTATCTTAAGGAAAGAGCGTTGTTTACTGATGTGTGAAAACCCGGGGTTTGAGTTTTTAGGGTAGAGCTCATAGATCAAGGAAAAACCCTAAAACTATTTCTGAATGTCCTTTGTCAGTTAATTTGAAAAAAATGTTCATGCCCCTTTTTCCTGAAGACCAGCATTTTATTTAGTTTGAATTCATCTGAATGGAGAGCATAAGGATGATAATAAATAAGATAGATGCTTGTTTGCAGTGCATTGTTTTTATAGTCATGAGTAACAATGTGGTAAAGGCAGCTTTGAGGAAAACTTATTGTTTAGCATTTGAAAGTTTTAAAAGTTGTATTTGCTGTAAATTTGAGTGCTCCAACTGATCTGTTTTCTTCTCCAATAGGTATAAATGACCAAGGATTATACAGAGTTGTGGGGGTGAGTTCAAAGGTCCAGAGACTTCTGAGTTTGCTGATGGGTATGCCTCTATTTTATAACAACTTCAATCATGTTTGTATTTTGATTTATGGTTGTTTTAATTTCATTGTTGAGATCTTATGTAACTTTTGCGTTCCCCTCATTATTGGTCAAATTTTAGCTTGCCTTACTCATGCAAATAGTTCTATCCTGCACTCACAGTTGTTTCTTGGCTGAATAAGACAAGCAAGTTTTAGCTGCCAGTTTAAACAAAGAAAACAGCCAAAAGGACCTGTTGGGACAAATCCTAGGTGTGGTGTAAGTAGGTTTAAAGGAGCCTGAGTTTAAATTAAAATAATCTACACCCAGAGTCTCTGGAAGTGGAGAAAAGTGGGTATATGTAAGGAATTTTTTTTTTGTCTTCTGCCTTTTTGGCTCATGGTGAATAAAATTCCATTCAGCATCACACAGGATTTGTATCCATGTTAATATGTCAATTAGGGATATGATTTAAAAAACATTATCCAGGTATAGGGCCTGCCTCTGGACCCAGTTATTCCAGTATGAATGTGCTTATACCAGTATAACTTTCTTTCTTTTGGGGGATAAGCTATACCAGTATGAGCACATATATACCGATATAACTGCATTCACATTAAGGGTGTTGTACCATTTTACATACTGGTATATTTAAAGTGGTATAACATATGTGTACGTGATGCTTTTTAGGTCTTCATTTGAATGTTAGGCAAATTTAACTACTTTAGTCAGAGATGGTGGTGAAGGGGTGAAGAATAACCCCCGAACAAGGTAGCTCTAAGGACCCACACCCAGTGTAGATGCAGCTTTGTTGATGGAAGAATGCTTCCTTCCGCACAGCCACTGTCCTTGGTCGAGGTTGTACTCACGCAGCAGTAGAAAAACCAGTCACGAGTGTGCTGTGGTGCGCTATGGAGTTAGGCTGATATAGCAACACAGATATGCTGGTATAGTCTCCATTAACATACATCAACACTTAAAAGGCTTTCTGCAGCAATAGGAAAGGTTCTCCCATTGCTGTAAGTAATTCATCTCTCTGAGAGGCAGTAACTAGAGTTGGTAGAACTCTTCAGTTGACCTAGTTCGTATTCACTGGGGGTTAAGTTGGCTTAACTACATCTGTCTGGAATTTTGATTTTTCACCCCCTGAGGGAGATGTAGCTATACTGATTTCACTTTTTAGTACAAACCTATTCATGCCTGTAGACTCAAGCCAGGTCTACATTATGGACCTATCTACATTACTTCAAGGTATGAAAAATCCAAACTTAGTTATACCAATATAACCTCCCCCTCACTATGTGAAAAGTGCTAAATCAATGGGACAGCTTCTGCCATCAACCTAGCAACTGCCTCTTAAGGAGGGGGATTAACTATGCTGACAAGAGGAGTACGGTACTGTAAGGCTACGTCTACACTGGCCCCATAAAACGGAATAGTCATGCAAAGCAGGTAAGTCAGAATAGGGAAATCCGCGGGGGATTGAAATATCCCCCGCGGATTTAAATAAACATGTCCGCCGCTTTTTTTCCGGCTTGGGGAAAAGCCGGAAAAAAGCGTCTAGATTGGCGCGATCCTCCGGAATAAAGCCCTTTTCCGGAGGATCTCTTATTCCTACTTTCAACTTTCCCCAAGCCGGAAAAAAAGCGGCGGACATGTTTATTTAAATTTGCGGGGGATATTTCAATCCCCCGCGGATTTCCCTATTCTGACTTACCTGCTTTGCATGACTATTCCGTTTTATGGGGCCAGTGTAGACGTAGCCTAAGTGAAGACAAGCCTTTATTTAGACTCCCTCACGTGCACTTACCAATGGAGCGTGTATAATACCTTATGAATTACCTTATTACCTCCCTCTGAATTGGGCTCCACACATATCTACACCAAATTTTCTTCTGGAAAACTTGATACTCCTGTAGTCCCAGTAGTCAGACTGTTCCTGCCCCCTCACTGCCTCTGGAAAAGTGCAGGCATCTGGATGCATTTCCTCACCTGCTTAGTATCTCTCACCAGAGTTATAACCATGTCTGCACAATGTGCAGCATTTCCAAATTTCCTGTCCCGAGCACTGAAAGTACATGCAGTTGGACAAGACCACGGGGATTCGTTCATTTTTATGGAGCTTCCAAACCTGTCACTTGACAGCAAGGGTCTGATTCTCAGGGATTCATTGGTATTCAGAGAAGCTTGTTTGCAGTTTGCACCAGGCTCTTCTCCAGAACCAGGCATGCTCCATCTGTGCTGATAACATAGTGTTCTTTGGCACAGCAAACTGGAGGAAACCAGAAAGTGAATTCATTTCATTACCCCAGACATTATGTGAATGACAAAGCGCTTTTATATTATACGCTGCTGTCAGTTCAGTGCCACCTGTAAGGTTTTTTGTTTTAAAGCAGGCTGTGTCTTCAGGAGTGATAAGAAGACTTCAGGCTTGAGGGCCTGAATGTCATATCAATCTGTCATCGTGACCTTGCTAAATATTAATTTATACAATATCTTACTTTAATCAATATTAACAATGCCCTGAGGCCCTCTGTCATTGCATATAAACCTGTCCATATTTTAAAGCATTGCCACAAGAAGGGAGTTTTCGGAAGCATCAACCAAGATTAACCAACACACAACAGGTTCTTTTGGCTGTTCAGCAGTATTATAATTAAAGACTTTTTTTAGTCATTAATCAGGGAAACAATTACCTGTCATCAGTGGAAGAACTTTGTTAAAATGCATTTGCCAGTATGGACTGTTTTTGTTTTTCAACTCGCTAGTTTAGTTAGGGTGTGCAGTTTTGGCAGTCGACTTTTCCTCTTTACCATTAGTGGTATCCAAATTAAATAGACCTAGGTTCCAGTGGTTCGGTAGCAGCTGGAAGAGTTTTATTGAGATTCCAACATCTGCTTTTACTTAATTTTGAAATGAGAGCGACTTTTTTACTCCTTTCCAAGATTGATGTAATGCTTTGAAAATCAAAGATTATACTGATGTCAAGACAGCAAGAAACATCAAACAGAGAACATGTAATGTTATGGACAGGTACTCTTCCCCTGGTCCAGTAGTTCATTGAAAGTATCACTATGCAATCCTGGTAGCATACTTACTTTTATGTGGTTTCAAGGAAGATTAGAGAAGGGTTTCTGTTTGTTATGCCATAGAGAAGAATCTAAAATATTTGATCAATCTATACCTTTTTGTTTGAGTGTAAGTATCCTTTCAGATAAAATCCTCCTTCCAGTGTCATTAAAAATAAAACAAAAACCTATCTCTGATTAACTTTCAGGCTATTAACGTTTTAAAATAAGATCCCAATTTGTTTTCCAGCTACTTTTATTTATCATAGGCCATCCAATGTGTGTGTGGTCCATGATGAATGAAGAAGAAGAAGAAGAAGAAAGGAAATAGACTTCAGATGATAGGAATGGGTGTTGATGGCATATAGCCTTTTTGTCTCTGTTTGGAAAAGATATTGTAAAACCATGTATATGAAAGGAATGTGGAAAGATCTTAATTTTGGGACTGCTTCTATAATACCTTTCTCTGAAAGAATCCCACATTCCAAACAAAGTAAAAATGTGTGGACTCAAGCCTTACTTATCATCATAAATTAAATTAATCTAAAGCAAAAACATGCAGTTCTGTAAAACAGGCAGTATTGTCACTCGGTAATTGACTTATTGTCTGTTCTGATTTTCAACAATAGTCTTGTTTAAATGTGAATGACAAAGGCTAACATTTTGTAAACAAAAGTCTCATTTTTGCCTGAAATTGATATTAAATTACTCTTCTAATTTATTATAAACATGGATAACAAGTTACTACTTTGAAGGTTTCAGAAGGCTAACCATGTTAGTCTGTTTCAGCCAAAACAACAAGGAGTCCAGTATCAGAGGGGTAGCTGTGTTAGTCTGGATCGGCAAAAGTGACAAGGAGTCCTGTAGCACCTTATAGACCAACAGATGTATTGGAGCATAAGCTTTCGTGGGCAAAGACCCACTTCGTCAGATGCATGTAGTGGAAATTTCCAGAGGCAGGTATAAATATGCAGCCAAGAATCAGACTAGAGATAACGAGGTAAATTCAATCAGGGAGGATGAAGCTCACTTCTAGCAGCTGATCTGGAGGTATGAACACCAAGAGAGGAGAAACTGCTTTTGTAATTGGCTAGCCATTCACAGTCTTTGTTTAATCCTGAGCTGATGGTGTCAAATTTGCAGATGAACTGCAGCTCAGCAGTTTCTCTCTGAAGTCTGGTCCTGAAGTTTTTTTGCTGTAGGATGGCTACCTTTAAATCTGCTATTGTGTGTCCAGGGATATTGAAGTGTTCTCCTACAGGTTTTTGTATATTGCCATTGCTAATATCTGATTTGTGCCCATTTATTCTTTTGCATAGGGACTGTCCAGTTTGGCCAATGTATATAGCAGAGGGGCATTGCTTGCACATGATGGAGTATGTTACATGGTAGATGTGCAGGTGAATGAGCCAGTGATGGTGTGGCTGATCTGGTTAGGTCCTGTGATGGTGTCGCTGGTGTAGATATGTGGGGAGAGTTGGCACTTGAGGTTTGTTGCAGGGTTTGGTTCCTGTGGTGAGGTGTATAGTTGCTGGTGGGAATATGCTTCAGGTTGGCGGGTTGTCTGTGGGCGAGGAGTCCAGTGGCACTTTAAAGACTAACAAATGTATAATCCCCTAATAAAGTCATTAGTCTTTAAAGTGCCATTGGACTTTTACTTTGAAGTCATCAGTCATAAGTCTTTGTCTGCACTGTTGTAGTGCAGCCAGCAGGATACTCAGTTCCACTCACTACTTTATGTATAAGTCACAGAATAAACAGTATGTTTAAGTGCAGCAATGTGCAAAGTAGGGGGACACAATTCCGGTTAGTCAGTTAATCAGTTAAACATTAGGATAATCTAACGTTTAATGTGTTAACCAACTAGTGGGATCTTATGGCTCCAGCCCTGCAGCCCATACTGAGGCTGGGGCTGGCTCTGCTGGTTCCCGTACCCAGCCCCAGCATGCGGCAGGTCTGCAGATGGTGGGCTACTGCCTGGAGAACTGATTAACCAGTTACCTGTTCACATCACTTGTACAAAGGAACATGTTTTATAAAGTGATTTTTATGATGATGTGGCTGTTAAGATCTTGTATGTTCTGTCAATGGGTTCAGTTTTGAATTCTGAGAGTGACTGCCATATAAAATGCAAGGTATCATATTTCATACAAAAGAACTTTGCAAATCCACCTACATTTTAAAACAGCTGTGAAAGTTACTGCATTGAATCCCTTGTTTATTCCAATTTTATACACAGTGTATTATAGTACATTTAAACTCTCACAGTGGCCATATTACAATCAAAACCAGAAACAAAGCTGCTCTTCGTGACCTAGCTCTGTGAACCTTGCTGGTTTCATAAGCCCGATTTCCACAATATCTGAAATTTTAGGAATTAAGAATTAAAGTTGAATTTTCAAAAACTCTCTAAAATTGCACAAAATTGTTTGTCTTCACACAACTATTTGCAGCTGCAGGTGCAATTCTTGGGTGTATTTTTAGTTTTGCCATGCACAGTTGTATATACAAAATTGTTAGCATCAATTTTGAAATCCTATTGCGATCCCTTGCAAATATGATCCTTAAATGTTTAGGAAAAAATGGAATGTAGTGGTAATGTAGAATAAAGGAAACTGTTTAAATATAAGACGACAGAATCAGAGATTCAAGAAAAGTATTTGATTTTTATGTCTTGAGATATCATTGCTGATTTTTTTGGAGGGTAAGGGAGTCTTTGAAAAGTTCTAGTGTTTTGTCTGAGGAGTTGTTAATGAAATCCTTTCCCGCTGTTTTTTTAAAAAGCAAAAATACTTTTTCTAATGGTTTTTAAGGATGATTATTCCCAGTATGAATTTCAAATATGTCATTAACAAATTCCACACAACCAAGTGCACCATTTGATTGTAAAGGAGAGTCAGTGATGATTGAGGAATTATTTGAAAACAGTGAAAATTTAATAGTGGATTACTAACATAGTTACTAGAGTCATTTGTTTCTGATGTGACAGCTGCTTTTTATTCCATGAAGTCAGTAGAAAGGTTTGTTTCTCAGTGGAAAGAATGTGATTCTCAGAGCAGAGGCAGATATGTCAGAAAGAAGAAAATAAAAGGTTCCATTTAGACATCCTTTAGGTTTTTGGATCGTGGTTGGCTGGTAGCAAGTTGACAGAAAATATCTACCTAGTATTTTAAAATAAGATTTAAATAATTGATTTAATGAGAGCAAATATTCAGTTACAGAAATAATTGGTTGGCACAGCTTTTAGAACATAATTATTTAGTCCCAGTTAGAAGGGACTGCACCTTTAATCAGGGTTTGTAATTTGATTTTTTAAATGTATGGGTCGTTTGTCTAACAAGCACAGTAACAAGTGAATTTAGGAGTGTAGGAATCAAAATGTAATACACGTCAATTACCATTGTTACAGTTTTTTGCATGTTGCTGTTAGTGGTTGTAATAAAAAAATGTTGAAGTGCTTAAAGGCGCAAGACATCTTGGCTTCATACAGGTTATGTTTTAACTGTAAAATAGCTATCAATTTTTGTTTATTTTAAAAATTCTGTAAAGTGATCATGTTTTGTATTGCTTTTTCTCAGACAGAAAACCTTGTTGATTACTCAGACATTTGACAAGTCAATTTCATCACTCCTATGATTAGTTTTGCAAAAACTAAACAGGCAAAAGATGAGTGGCTTTCTGTGGAATTTACAAGTAGTTAGGAAGCCAAATTATTTTTCCATTTGGCTAAAAACTTGTAAAAGTAAAATTAAAAGATTAATCTTAAATCCTCGGGACAGCCTCCCAGTACAGAACTTCCTTTCTTCTCTTTCACTTCAGTAATGTCTTTGCAGTCCCAGTCTTTGGGCATGGCCAACCAGGTGGTCACTTACGGCCCTGCGCTGCCCAGCCCCTGGCCCTGCCCACTCAGCTGGGAGCAGCGCGACTTTGCCGCTCGGTGTGCTGCCTTGGGCACTGCACAGTCTTTGGCCTGGCTTGTGTCTTCATTTAGCAATCAGCTGTGTATCAACTTGTGCAACATTCTTAAACAGAAGCACCAAAGTGTCTTTTTTATTTTTTTAAATCTACTTTCAAGGTATTACTATATTTGAACAGATTCCTTGGGCTCATGTGGATTTCATGAAATAAAGAACTATCATTATTATTTATTCCTTTCCTTTCCTTTCCTTTCCTTTCCTTTCCTTTCCTTTCCTTTCCTTTCCTTTCCTTTCCTTTTTATTATATAGTGAATTTGATTTTTGTATTTTCATGAATATTCCAGTATTGAAAGCTCCCTGCCCCCTTCTAAATAAAGAAGCCTGGAAATAACTCCTCCTATAAAGAAATTTCAAATGAAGTCCTAGTCTAATTGTGCTGCTCACTGAAGAGAAAAAAAAATCAGCGAAATAGTTTTAAAAGCACTTGAAAGTAAATTTTCAAAAGAGATGGAAGTGTATTTTGTATTCTCTATCTTACTTCCATTTTAACATTTAAGAGGGAGATGACAATTTTGGATTTAAACTAACAAAAGTTTCTTAATTATTGACTTCAAATTCTATTCAGGGACCTTACCTTCTGTGGTTTTCTTTAGGATTATTATAATATTGTCTGATTTCACAGATACAAGTTTCCCCATGAATTTAACTTTGGTAAAAGTTTTAAAGTATGTAAAGATTTAGATTTGTTTTTCTTTTTTGCTCATTTGTTAGATGCAAAAACCTGCAGTGAAATTGATCTGGAAAACTCTGTAGATTGGGAAGTGAAGACTATTACTAGTGCTATGAAGCAGTACCTGAGGTAAGGTTCCATTTGTTAGGTATTCATAATTGAACTCTGTTTACCACTGATAGATGATGAAGTTTTATTATTGTTTTGGTCATTTGTTTTTACTGTTGTTTGGATGGAGGTCTATACTGAATACAAATCCACATTTATTTAAGGCACAATATTTACTTTAGGGATAGAGGGGAGTTCATAATGTCACAAAGAGCAGTTTAATGACTGACAAACTTCAAAATCTTCAGAAGAGATAAGAGTTTGGCTGATTGGCTGGAAATCTGGAGTCTGCAGAATTGGTCTGTATTATAAAATGTGCTGTTTCCAGTCAGGTTAGACTTTTCTCAGCAGTATTTCTTCCTTATGGTACTGTGGTACAGCTTGTTAAAAAAAAAAGGAGAAAAAAATTACAAAAATAGTATTAAAAGCTAATTTGAAATTGTTTATATTTTGAAATCTGAAAAATTTGACTAGCTTTATATTTTGCTACTCCCTCCACCCCCAAGGAACTATGAATTGCTAGGAGAAAAAAATGGAAGTGCATCTTCAGAGGTTTAGGTCTGTTCTGTGTCCACACCAATTTTCTTCTTCCCTGTTAAGATATGCAGCTGAATTATGTTAAAATGTATATCAGGAAAGTTAATATACTTTTCATATCAGTAAAGTGAACTAATAAAAGGCAAAGGAATTCTGAAGTTATCAACCTTGGTTCTTGAAGTATAGTTTAGAGGCTTCAGGGAGAAGAAATATTTATTTAAACGCACAAAACAAATTAATATTGGCCATCCATAAAATTTGGATATTTTCTGCAGTTATTTTAAAACATGAATAGAGTGAACTTGATAAACTTGAGTTTAAAAAAAAAAGTCAAGTGTTTCTGTAGTTGCTGTTATTTAAATAAGATTTTTTTTCATTGATAGTGATTTTTATGTTACTAGGGATTTTGCAACATTTTAAGGGGAATAATTTTCAGATGGTGGCACGCAGCACTTCTTAGAAATTAGATCCCTTAATGTTTGAAAGTTAGCCAAAAATTGAAGAACCCTAAATCAGTAGTCTGTTTTGACAATTATGGCTATCAATTTTTCAGTCCTCTCTGCAAGAAAAAGATCATGCTGTTGAAAGAAAGTTTCCTTCTGTAATCTTAATTGCAGTGTCTTTTGTGCTTAAATTGTGACTCACTCACCAGCACAACTCAAATAGAAAATGTTTGCACAGAACTGTTTGTGGTCAGTTCATAGTTAAATATTGACAACAAAAATTCATAAAATATGCATGTTCAAATTTTAAAAAATGATGTTTTGTTCCTTAATATCTATGTACTAAAAAGGTATATTAATGTATAGTCTACCATGATTATTCATTTAGCTCTAGCATAGAGGATGTTATATATTCCCTTACATTTGATGTAATAAAATATTCTGTTACACTTCCTTATTTTTAAACCGAGACATCTGGTCATCTGCTCTGTTATGCCAGCCATGCAAGAAGGAAGATGGCATTCCATAGATATGGTTTAATTGACCCTCAACTTTATTCACTTACAGTATCTGGGAATATCCAGCAATAAATTGTACAGTACAGATCAATGTTCTTTCCTTTAAGACTTCTCCCAGTTTGAGAAGTCAGCTGTTTGACTTCCCCCTTCCTAGCCATGACACAGAAAAATTGTGTCTCCAACCTTGCCATCCTCTTATACGAGGGGCAGGAGTGGTAGAAAAAGTGTGTGGGGAGGGTAGCAATGTAAGCGAGCGGTCGACTACCTGATTAAGGCTAGGCTTATTGGGTAGTCGAGTCAACTACTCAACCACTTGTTCCCCTCCCCGCCATTGCCTCTGTATCAGAAGCAGTGGGAAGGGAGGGAAGCAGGAGCCAGTTCTGGGGGCAGTCAGCTTAAAAGATAGTTCCCTCCTGCACTCTCTATGGTGCTGTCTGCTCTCCCTTGCGATGATTCCTCTATTAGAGGCAGCAGCATTGGGCATGGAGGGGCCAAGGAGGCTGCCATAAAGCAGCCCCTGTCTGCAGTGGCCTAGGCTGACCACGGGCAGAGGCTGCTCCAGCAGCAGCCCCTATCCATGAGGGGTCCCAGAGGAGAGCTGGGATTCCCCCATGGACAGGAGCTCCTGGACCCAGTGCAAGCTGGGACTGAGCAATCCTGGCTTAGTCCCAACTCATGCTGGGTCCAGGAGCTGCCCCTGCTGTGGCTCTGCAGTTTAATTGTAGTAAGAGCCAGGCTGCCTGTGCATCTGGCTCTTACTATATTTAAACTGCAGAGCCACAGCCAGGATAGCTCCTGTACCTGGCACAGGCTGGGACTGGGGAAAGCCTTTCATTATCGACTAATCATGTAGTTGATAAAAATTTTATCGAGTAAACAATTAGTGGATTTACCCACCGCCTAACATCCTTAGTGGAGGGGTGTTCTACCAGGTGTTAGAAACCACACACCCGGCTTCCTTAGGGGATATCTTCTTCTGTCTACCTCCAACTGGGCTGTAGGGCTAATGGGGGATACTCTGGTCTGGCTTGTTGAGGAAGAGGATATAGAACTCCACAGCTGGAAGAGGAAACAAGGGTAAGAAGCGGCTGCAAGTGGGGAGTGGGTCAGCATGGCACTACTGACTCATCCTCAGGCACTGGAAGATCTGAAGAGTTCAATAGGGACAATCCTAGTGGGAAAAGACCTTTTTCTCTTGATCAACTAAAGTAGCACCTATCCTCCCTCTCCGTGAGTTGGGAAAATGCCAGGTTTAGTCAGGACCTGCTTCTTTTAATGTGAGCTGGGAAGAAAAATTTTCCCTCACCACCAGATTGGCCTAGATCAGTGGTTCCTAAACTTTACAGCTTCACACCTCCTTCTTGATTTTTGAGAAACCCTCACTCCTCCCCAACTCTTCTTTACCAGCATCCAATCCCCCATTTAACAAAAAAACAAAAAACAACAAAAAATAAATTCATAATTTAAAATTAAAAATAAACAAAAAAATTGGTATAAAAATTTATTCAAAATTAAAAATAAAGCACAAATAGTTGGGTTCGGGGCAAGGTTCTCATGGGGCTCTGGGCGGCGGGGGGACAGCGTACTTGTGGGGTTCTGGGCAGGGAAGGGACAGGAACAGCTTGGCTGGTACCTGGGGGGTCCAACAGCTACACCTTCCCTCTGGTGCTTCAGGGAGGGCTTTGTTATGGTGAATAAGTAAGGAAGTTAGGCTGTGATGATGCAACTCATATGTAAATAGGCTGTCAAGCAGGGGAGGTATACAAGATAAATGGACCAGATAAATGGCTTGGTGAAGGATTTATAAAGGAGGGGAGTGGTTCAAGATTCCTTTGACTGGCACAGCAGGGAACCAGGCCCCTTTTCTATATAGTCCACTTTTAACTTTTGTTTGGGGGAGGAGGAGGGAGAAGGAGGAACAAGGCAAAAATCTCACTTTTACTTCTCCGGTTATGTGGTTGGAGAAAAATGACTTCCCAACCCTGAAATAAAAAAGGTGACTTATGCAGTGCCCCCCAGCAGATCCTGAGAAAACGTTCTCTTTCAATCCCAGTGGTGAGAAGATGGGTACTACTGTCCCCTCATTGATAAAATGAGGGCTTCTCCAAAAATGCGCAACTGATGTGTGGATACAGATCCAGCCACGACCTCTTCCTCCCTTAGCTCCATTTAGATAAGTTCCTTCTTCCCACTCTTGCAGCCCAATTGCTCAATGCGCCCTTAAAGTGGACACAGACCCACAACACTGAATTGCAGTGACAACATGTTAGAAACGGATGAACAACTAGATACGTAGAATACCTATATTTGTCTTTCGGATGAGTAAATCTCAAAATGTATGGAAAGTGTTCATACTACATTGGAGGCCTCACGTTTGGGTCTTGTGTTTAACCATTTTATTTTCCCAGGATTGTACTCTTAAATGTCACACTTTCAATTTGTGCTACATAAATCACTGAAATCCTGCAAGCTCCCCCCTCTCCTGCATGGAGAGGTGACTGCTTCTCATTGAAAAGCTTTCTATTTGTATTGTTTCTGAATAGGAAACAAATGTACATGAACTTACTGTATTTAGTGATTCCATGTTGTTTTTGTCTTCCAGAAGTCTTCCAGAGCCTCTAATGACGTATGAGTTGCACGGAGAGTTCATCATTCCTGCCAGTAAATATTTGATTATAGTTCAAATAGAATTATTTTATAATAGCACTGTTCTAGCACTCAGGAGCAGACATTGAAAATGTACTCTCAGCTAAATTGCTCATTTCAGCTGAATAAATAAGAGGTATAGGAAAAAATTGAAACCATTTAATATGAAGTTAGATGGGAGTATACCATCAATGTATTATCTATAGACACAGCGTATAGAAATATATACACTTAAACGTATATAGATGTTCATAGGTACAAGTTCATGGGGAAAATTTTTGCTTAGCTTAGAGCATTTCACTCTGCTTTGATTTATAGAATTTTTTAGTTCAAATTCTGAAGTCTTGGATTTTTTCCCCCTCTTATACTAACTGTACCATAGTGAATATTATATTTTCAGTTTTCTTGCAGTAGTTTGAGATGGTAATATTTTCATTTCCTTAAGCTATTTATACAGAAACAAATTTAATAGGATGCAGTATGCTTGTGGGAGGTGGGGGGGAGAAAGAGCTCCCTTGGATCTTAAAAGTGCTGTATGATCCTTGTTTTCAGAGCCATCTCTCTGGGAGGTCTGTATCCAAGCTGGCCTACAGGTGCCGTGTATATTACTAGAAGAAAGGAATGAACAAGCCAAATTAAACTATGGCAGTTAAAGTAAAGATTTAGAGAAGGTAGAAAAGTGTATTGGTAGATCAGCTGCATGGTGTCTAATGTTAATGGAATTGTCTGGAGGGGGTAGAAGTTGCATAAGGAAAAATGTTGGCAAAATAGCCAACCAATATTTAGCTGATTTGCTTTCCAGCCTGTGGCATTTCTGGCACTCCATGAGAATTGAAATTAAAGTAACGTTTTGAGGACAATTGTTTAAATGTTGTTGGCTAGTCTTAAAGATTGGGGGGGAAAAAACAGCAGAATGCTAGTTTGTAGTCTTTGCATGAGTATTTTCATATGTCAAAAAAGAGAGAAATCTTTACTGATTGTTTATATATAAAAAGGAAATATTTTCTTACCTTGTGCACAGTTAGCCCTTGAAATTCATTGCTATACATTGCAATTAAGGTGAAGACCATAGTAGAATTCATGACATTTAGATAAATGAGTGAATAAAGAGTTGCAAGATACAGGATTTAAAACATTCCCTTTTCCTAAAGGAAATAACAGTGTATGTTTCTATATTCCTTCCACTCCATTTTATTAGGGTCTCCTGGAAGATGTGTGTTTACTGGTCTTAAGAATACAGTATTCACAAATACTAAAAATTTATGAGGCCCACATGTGTAATGGCTACACTTACCAAGCAAGGAGAAGATACTTGAACATCACTATTTGAATTTCAGCCATTCCGGGTTTTTTTTTCTTTTTTCAAACTTCCAAGTATCTTTCTAACCTAAGTTATAAAAATACAGTCCATTCCTTTTTTTTTTGTACTGTATTACATTGTAGCAGAGTGTATTCCACCCTGTTCTCTTAACAAGTATTTATTGACAGTGACAAATTCATTTGATGAAGGGTCACTTTATCTGGTGTTCAGGATTCCACAGTACTCAGAAGGACTTTTACTGTGAAGAAAGTTTGATTGTTTTGGAGACATTCTGAATTTGGCTATTCAGAAGTTTAAACTGTAGATGGCATTTTCCTTAGTGAAGGTCCACCAAGAATGTTCTCTACTAAAAATATTTCCAAATCTAGTAAAAGAAACTCTTAAGAAAAAATGGCATGTTCTCTTATAGTAATTACCTAGCTTATGGAGTAAATTTAGGATAGTAAAGTCAGTGGAGTAGTATTAATATTAGAACTTCCCAGATTCAAAGTGTGTCATAACATCCATAATAGTTTTCTGATATGTACCTTGCTTTCAGTACTAACTTACAAAAACATAGGGTCTCTACGCTCACCTTACTATAAATCATTCTTCAGAATTAGTTTTAAGCCAAATAATAATGTAAAATAAAAAAGCTGATTTATTTTTTTATTATTTACAAATCTTTGTTTTCAGCTAATTAAGAACTTGCATGGCCTAAATTGTTTGTTTCTTTGCACATTCAAAGAAGCCATTGCTGCTTTACACCAGGCTCTGCTACCAATTACTCTACTGACAGCAGTGAGAGATGTAGTTGATATCAAGAATCCTTTATCCTGGTAATCTGACTCTGCAGCCTGGAGAGGGTTATTGGCCTACCTCTTCAAAAGGTGTTAGTTTTTCTCCTCTGAACCTTTTAGTCCTCTCTGGATGTTATTTTCCAGTGCCATTTCTAGTGCAAGGTGTTTTGAAGCAGTGTCAAGAGCTATGTAGCACCAACCAAGCTCAATGTAAAAGATAAGGATAATTAATAAATGTCAAAAGGATAAAGAAGCATCCTTTCGCACTTTGGTTTCACAATGAGATTCTGTAGCGTGTAACATAAACCTTTGCTCTGCAGTATATTTCTAAGCCACATGTGTGATGCAGAAGAATATCTGCATTTAAAAAAAATAGATGAACAGAGAAAAGGCATCCATTTACAAGTAGATTGAAATAACAAATGGACAGGTAGCACTAGAACAGGAGGCCTTGAAAGACACAGTATATGTATTCAATTAAGCTCTATTTGGGGATAGGATCTAAGTGCAAAACCAAAGTATGCTAGGAATGTTTTGTTTTGAGATAGGTGTGTGGGTGAGGAAGGATTTCTATCTTTGATATACACTATGTTGTTTCTGTTCTGTAGAAAGTGGCAGCCCTGAGTCCAGAGTTAATGCTATCCACTTCTTGGTTCATAAACTTCCAGAGAAGAACAAAGAGATGCTGGACATTTTGGTGAAACATTTAGCGAAGTAAGCACCATGGCTTCTTTTATTAGTTTTCAGAGACCTTTTTCTCCCTTTGAAACTCTTGTTATATCTAGAGTTGGCTAAATTAATTGTGGTTGGAGCCAAGGCTGGTTGTGATGATATTAGACACAATACCAGGCACCAAACCTACAGAATAGATGAGAAGTTTGACTCATGCAGTGTGTGTTTTGGAAAGGAGAGCAGAAATCTAATCTGTTAATGAAGTTATGCAAGTATTTACTTAGCACTTCTGCCAGAAATTGAGGATTTGATTGTAGTGAGAGAGTCAATTTATACTTTCTCTGTGCAAATTCTGGCAATGAGAATACTAAAGGTTTGTTAGCAAAATTAGGTTGGTTTCACACTTACCAAAGCCCAAGGCTAAGTGCATTGTACACATTTAAGTTCAATAAATGGCAACTTTTATTTCTTCTTAAATGCAGATGGAAGAATGGCTTTTCTACTTTCCAAAATTCAACATTGTTTTATTTGGAGAAACTTTGCACAAAATAAACTTCTAAAATATGGATTAGGGAAATGAAATGTTTTCATTTGTAAAGTATACTATATTTTTCAAGAGAACTGGGAATTTTCATAACTTGTTTCCTGCTTTTTGTCTTCCAATTCTTTTGAAAAAGTGTTTCAGACCATGCCAAGAAAAATCTAATGACTGTAGCAAATTTAGGAGTAGTATTTGGACCAACCTTAATGAGGCCGCAGGAAGAAACCGTGGCAGCTCTTATGGACCTAAAGTTTCAGAATATTGTGGTGGAAATCCTTATAGAAAACCATGAGAAGGTAAGACTCTATGTTTAAAAAATGCTTAATAAAGTATATATTGAATGTTACGTGAAGTAAACATTACGTTTTATGGGCATATAATTTTACATATGTACATAGAGGTTTTTCTCATATGCCCCATTGTCCCCAAAATTATCACTTTTGTGTATGCAAACTGACCTATCAGCATACTTACCAAGCATATTCAGATGCATATTTATTCATAATGCATACATCTGTACTAGTTGTATACACATGAGTTGTCATGAACAATTGCACATGCACAAAGAAGGGAACTCCTGTCTACTGCATGTGTAAATAGACTGAAAGTAAGTGATCTGTTTTCAGCTTTGCCATCAATTGTGTGTGACCTTGATCAAGGTGCCTGTTATACTTTCTGTGCCTGTTTTCCTCAGCTGTAAAACAGGATTCAGACTTTGAGCTTTATAGAACAAAAGCATTATTTGAGAAATATTGATAATATTCTTATTTAAAAATTCTCATTTAAAATTTTCATTTTCTTAAGTCATTGCTCTCTAGTATAAAAGTTACAATAGAATTTGCTTCCAGTTAAAGTACCCCACGCAGTGCTTCTTGGAGGAGACATTCAAAATAGCATCATGCATCCTCTCTTGGTTCCCCATTATTGCAGTTCTAGTAAGCATCCCACCCTTAGTGAGCCTTTTGGACCCACCTTGGCATCCTGAATTTACCCCCTGTCCCCTTTTTGGTGAGGCCTGAGAGAACCTGCTTGGCTCTTTTGGGTTCCTCCTGGATATAATTTCTTCTTAATTGGAGTGGTTGGCAGAAAGAGGTGGCAAATCCCAAGCCTTCTCACTCATGTTGTAAAATAAACTGTTGCAGTAGATTGTGCAGAAATTAATATGATCATCTTTTCTCCTTTCTTACCTGCTTTGAGCAGTGAAATAGGTAACACTTGAAATGTCAACATCATCACTTCTCTGAGGGTGTGTCTACATAGCAGCGTTATTTTCTATTGTCCACTGACCCTGTCCCCTGCCGCAGAACCCTGTCCCCTGCCGCAGAACCCTGTCCCCTGCTGCAGAACCCACTGGCACCCTGCCCCCTGCTGGCACCTTGCCCCCTGCTGGCACCTTGTCCCCTGCCCCAGCACCCACTAGTATCTTTCCCCAGTACCATGTCCTCTGCTCCCACCACCACAGTTGGGGCTACATTAGTGAGACGGGGGGTGCAGAGATTGGAGGAGTTATTTTTTTGCATCTCACTTGTGTGGCCCCAACTCACTTTTCTGTGGGTCAGTGACCCCTGACTCAAAACAGCTTCCCTGCTCTTCTCATAAATAAAGACAATGCTGAAACTTTTTGTGTTTGACATAATATTTTATTTAAAAATGAAGGCTGCCCAACAAACCCCCAATTGGGGCCAAGTCCCCATCTGGCCGCAGCATTATAACATTCCTGGAACCCCACCCCTCCCAAGACCGTAGATCTGAGCCTATCATACACTGGAACCCCCTGTCCTAAGTCTTTTACATCCCCAAACTCCTGCACCCCCTCATCCTCAGTCTTCTGCCATAACACTCCTGCACTATCCACACACCTGGAAATCTGCATCATCTACACACTGCCCATCTTACTCCCAACCTCCCTGCCCCTCACCCCTCACATATGCCAACCCAAACTCCTGCACCCTCACATCCACAAGCATGTGGCTTGCTCAGTACCCCAACACTCCCCATCCTGGAGCCCTCTCCCCGAGCCAGCATCCCCTTCTCTGCCTCCTCCTACATCCAGATTCCCTCCCAGCCCTAGCACCTCTCACCCCTTCCCACACCCAAATCCCTCATTACCACCCTAGAGCCCACACATCCTGTCTCAACCCAGTGAGGGTATGGCTAGACTGCAGGAGTTTTTCCAGGATTCCAGAGGTATTCCGGAAAAACTGTTCTGTGTCCAGGAATGCGTTTGTTCTTCCGCTTCTTTTAGTGGAACAGCAAATGTGCTCTTTCAGTAACCCCTGTATTCCTCGTTCCATGAGGAATAAAGGGGCTTCCGAAAGAAGATGTTTTTCTGACATTTGGCCCAGTCTAGACAGAATTGGAAGAAAAAAAAAAGCGGCAGTGTAGCTGTACCCTAAAAGTGTATAAGACCTGGGGATAACAAGTGATGGAGAAGAGGAGAACAGAGGGCAGGGCTTCAAGGTGGGGTTTTTGGGGGAAGGATGGGGCAGTAAATCTTGGCTTGTTCTGACATTTAAAAAGTGATCTTGGACATAGAGGTTGGAGACCACTGTGGTAGAGGGTGCCTTTGAGTGTCTCAAAGAGGGGTTCTGCTGCTGTCTCACCCATCTGGACCTTGGCAAGCAGAACGTCCCCCATGTGGTGGTGGCATTCTATGTTCTTCGCAATATTTGTGAGGAGAAGGGGGAGACATTCCTGCCAGAGTTTGGGGCAGAAGTTGAGCGGCTCACCAGGGCTTTTGAGCAGCTGCACACAGCTGCCATCTTGCAGGCCCACTGGGGGGCTCTGTGCATCCAGGAGGCCCTGAGGAAGGGTTTCAGACCAGGCCAGCTGTGACCCTCTCCCCTGGGCCTCCCCACAAGGGGTCTCTGCATTGTCCCTTTGTTCCTTTCCTTCCACACTCCTCCCCTGTTGATAAAATAAACCAGACCTTTTGTTTTGAACCAAACAACTCTATTTTTTGTTCAATTGGGGTAATTGTAACTAGGGAGGGACTGGGAAAAGAATCTGGGGAGGGAGGAGAGGCTGAGGGATGGGGCTTGGAGTGGCACCTGCCTCAGGTGGTCCCACCACTTCAGTGGCCACAGGAGGAAGGGGGGATAGAGGGAGAACCTGGAGGGGCGGGAGTGGGAGGGCATCTGCTCAATGGTAGCAACCAGGTAGTCGATGGCAGCTGTGTATGCCAAACACATGTGGCGGGTCTCTTGTGCCAGCTCCCACCAGGTGGTACGGCGCAGTTCCAGAGATCGCTGGAGACCATGTAGGCAAGACACATGTTTCTGCTCCAGGCCCTCACAGGCTCGTCTGTGGCAGTGGCTCCCACAGAGTTGGGAAGCTGGCGCAGAAGGTGTTGCAGGCACCGAACTCACAGCTGATCCAGCAGTAAAGAACAAAGAGAAGGGCAGTCATCCCAGGAGACAGAGTACATGAAGCTTACCCTCATTTCTGAGGCGACATCAAAAGGTCTTGGGTCAACTGAAGGCAATGTACTTGGAGTAAGGCCATCTGTGGCCTTCACAGTGGACCCTTTTCTGCAGGGGCACAGATGTCCCTGGGAGGAGCCTTGCTACCCCCATGTCCCAGGGACAAGCAGTCATGGGAATATGCCAGCCAGGCCAGGAGCCTGCAAGTGGGACTTGTTGCATAAAGCCTCCATTCGAGCTATTACTTGATTTTACACATGGATTTTCTGGAAATACATTAAACTGTAAGGTCCTGCCAACACATGGCGTAGGCTATGTCTAGAATGCAGGCTTCTTTTGAAGAAGCTTTTCCAGAAGAGATCTTTGAGGAAAAACTTCTTCCAAAAGAGAGCATCTACACAGCAAAAGCGCATCAAAAAAGTGATCTGCTTTTTCGAAAGATAGCGTCCACACTGAATGGACACTCTGGGTATGTCTAAGCAACATGGCTCCGTAGACTGAGCCATGTAGATGAGTTTACTAGACATAGGAAAATGAAGCTGTGATTTAAATAACTATATAGTGGAGTGTTAATTCCTCAATCAATACATCCATACTAGTGGAACCCAGTGGAAATTTTTTGGGTAACAGGACAGGGGTGATGGAACGGTTTGGCTTTCCTCCATGCTGCACACAGGCTAGGTTCAGC